ACAGCCTTAATCTTCCCCCTTCCCTTGGGTTTTTCAAGTTCGATCTTCGTAGCGTAACCGATCCAAATATGGGAAAGGGAGAAGAAGATTATGGAAAACGACAAATTATCAACTCTAAACCAACCGATCCAGATGTGTTTCCTGCTTGGGCTAAAGATGTCCAGGAATGCGAGAGGCGTTACCAAGTTAACAAAAAGTGGGGATTATCGTCGGTGGAAGTCGAAAATCGGCGCAAGATCTACGGTTACAACGAGTTGGAAAAGCACGAAGGGCAATCTATATGGAGTTTAATCCTGGACCAGTTCAACGACACGTTAGTTCGAATCTTACTCGTGGCGGCAGTAGTTTCTTTTGTCCTTGCTTGGTACGACGGTGAAGAAGGCGGTGAAATGGAAATTACTGCGTTCGTTGAACCGTTGGTGATTTTTTTGATCTTGATCGTGAACGCCATCGTCGGTGTTTGGCAAGAGAATAATGCGGAGAAAGCATTGGAGGCTTTGAAAGAGATCCAATCAGAACAAGCCACGGTGATCCGAGATGGACTCAAAAACTCTAATTTGCCGGCTAAAGAGCTTGTTCCCGGCGACATCGTGGAACTGAAAGTTGGGGATAAGGTCCCCGCGGACATGAGAGTTTTGGAATTAGTTAGTTCAACTTTGAGAGTGGAGCAAGGTTCGTTAACCGGAGAGAGCGAGGCGGTTAATAAATCTAACAAGTCCGTTAACGAAGATGCTGATATTCAAGGGAAACGAAGCATGGTTTTTGCGGGAACAACGGTGGTTAACGGAAATTGTATCTGTTTGGTAACGCAAATTGGAATGGAAACAGAGATCGGTAAAGTTCACACTCAAATCCACGTGGCGGCGCAGAGTGAAGAAGATACGCCGTTAAAGAAGAAATTGAATGAGTTTGGGGAGGTTCTAACTATGATAATTGGGGTAGTTTGTGTGTGTGTTTGGTTGATTAATGTTAAATATTTTCTCAGTTGGGAATATATTGATGGATGGCCAAGGAATTTTAAGTTTTCCTTTGAGAAATGTACGTATTATTTTGAAATTGCGGTGGCATTGGCTGTTGCTGCGATTCCTGAAGGGTTGCCGGCGGTCATAACCACTTGTTTAGCACTTGGGACACGAAAAATGGCTCAAAAGAATGCGCTGGTGAGGAAGTTACCGAGTGTTGAGACGTTGGGGTGTACTACTGTGATTTGCTCTGATAAAACAGGGACCTTGACGACCAATCAGATGGCCGTGTCCGAGCTTGTGGCTATGGGAGATGATGCGAGTAGGTTGCGGAGTTTTCGGGTTGATGGCACTACGTATAACCCTTCTGATGGGAAAATACATGATTGGCCGAGTGGTGAAATGGATGCTAATCTTGAAACGATTGCAAAGATTGCTGCCATTTGTAATGATGCTGGTGTAACGCATTCTGACCATAAGTTTGTAGCTCATGGAATGCCTACCGAGGCAGCGATAAAGGTTAGCTAGGCACTGATTCTCAGTTGCTCTGTTGACCTGTTTTTGAACTGTGATTATTTGTTTACAAGGTATTACATTTAGGCATGTTGTCAATGTTCATTGAAACTTTTACTAACAGAGTTGATGTATATTTTTGTTCTTCTGTACCTGCTCTGAAGTAGGCATTATAGTGACTTCAATCTCTGACTTATCTCTCTTTCTTCTTGCTACAGGTTCTTGTTGAGAAAATGGGCCTCCCAAAAGGATCTCATAGTGGTGGTCCTGGTGGATCAGCTGGCAGTGATGTTCTGCGTATGTTGGGTGTTCAGATATTTTAGTTTTACTTTGTTATTTTCTTTCTAGTATTATGACTTGTAACACTTAGATATGTTACATAATGTGCTCTAAAGGTTGTTGCCAATGGTGGAATGAGTATGAGTGTCGGATTGCAACCCTTGAATTCGATCGTGATAGGAAGTCCATGGGTGTTATTGTCAATTCCAAATCAGGAAGAAAGTCATTGCTAGTGAAGGTGCTATCTCTATCTCTCCCACGTGATTTTCTTATGTAAAAGCCAAAAAAATTGTTTTTAGGCATCTTGATTATCTTGTGATCCACAGGTAAATGCTTGTTTAATTTGCAGATAGCCTTGCTCGTCTATCCTTTTTTCCTCTTCAGAGATTTGAATGTTTTTTGCCCTGCTAAGTTAAAAAATGATATGCATGATATGGTTTTGAAGGATGTATGATACTTATTGCGGCCATTGAACATCTGCATTATTTATGACAATTTTTCTTAGATCTACTGTAACTTTAACTTTCATGTTTGTTTCTCTTTCACTCTAAGCCTCTTAACTTGAATTACTTACTTTGGCAGGGAGCTGTAGAAAACTTACTGGAGAGAAGCTCAAAGATGCAGTTGCTTGATGGTACTGTTGTGCCACTGGATCATAATTCAAGGAACCTGGTTTTCAGTGCTCTTCAAGATATGTCAAGCAGGGCATTGCGCTGCTTGGGTTTTGCATACAAAGATGAGCTCCTGGATTTTGAAACCTATGATGGCAATGATGATCATCCGGCTCATGACCTATTACTTGACCCATCAAACTATTCATCAATTGAGAGCAATCTCACTTTTGTTGGCTTGGTTGGACTGAGGGTGAGTTACAATGTTTTGGTCACCGCCTTTACTTGCAATTCTTTTTAATTATATTTTTCTCTGGTGAACTAACTCTGCTTGGTGGTGCCATTACATGTTTGCAGGACCCTCCACGTGTAGAGGTTCGTCAAGCCATTGAGGACTGCAAAGCAGCTGGTATTCGTGTTATGGTTATTACTGGAGATAACAAGAACACGGCAGAAGCTATATGCCGTGAAATAGGTGTCTTTGGTCCCACAGAAGACATCAGTTTGAAAAGTTTGACTGGAAATAAGTTTATGGAGCTTTTGGATAAGAAGGCTCATCTGAGACAAAGTGGTGGGCTTCTGTTTTCTAGAGCTGAACCAAGACACAAGCAAGAGATAGTGAGATTGCTAAAGGAAGATGGAGAGGTGGTTGCTATGACTGGTGATGGAGTAAATGATGCACCTGCCTTGAAACTGGCTGATATAGGGATTGCCATGGGCATTGCTGGAACAGAGGTATTTTTTTCATTTTTTATTGTTCACTGATTTCTTTCTGATTTTCTTTTTGAAGAGCACCTCTATATCATGTTAAAAGTACAGTAAATGAGCGGCTAATTATTTTTTAAAAAAATGAAAAGTGAGCCCCTACTGGAAGATTACTAAGGAGATGCTTACAGCGTAATAGCTCTTGTTTCATGTTCAATAGGATGGATGTTGATAGGGGATTGGAATTGACATATGATGTTTTCATCCAATTAGTTGGAATAGAGGACCATGACTTGTTTCATTCATGATGCTCTCTTTTGGTTTAAGTTAATGCTTTCTTGTTTCTCTTTTCACCATACCATATGATTTTTCCCCAAATCTGTTAAACATCGTTTTAATTCTTTCCATCTGCCAGGTTGCCAAGGAAGCTTCTGACATGGTGTTGGCAGATGACAATTTTAGTACCATTGTTGCTGCTGTTGGTGAAGGCAGATCCATTTACAACAACATGAAAGCTTTTATCAGGTTGGTTGTAAGCTTTTATCATGCTTTAGAGTTTGAAGGATTTTGCACATGGACAAGAATTCTTGGAAAGGCATCCTTGCTCCATTTGCTTGAATTTTGATTATTGCGTATAAATCATTTAATTTTTTGGAGTTCTTCTTTGGATGCTAAGACTATTTTATATCTTAAATTTTGATGCTATTTCAGGTACATGATCTCTTCAAATATTGGTGAGGTTGCCTCCATATTTCTAACAGCAGCTTTGGGTATACCTGAGGGCCTGATTCCTGTCCAGCTTCTCTGGGTTAATCTTGTAACGGATGGACCACCTGCAACAGCTTTGGGATTCAATCCTCCGGACAAGGGCATCATGAAGAAGCCTCCTCGCAGAAGTGATGACTCACTCATCACTGCGTGGATTTTATTCCGCTATCTGGTAGGTTGTCTCCTCTGGTCTCTTTTAGTATGAAAAATTTTAGTTTAGACCTTTGCTTGATTTTGTTGAGAATATTTTTCTCATTGATTTTAGTGGGATTGAGTTGTTTATCTTACTTTATTGCTTTGCACAGGTCATCGGACTATATGTCGGAATAGCAACTGTTGGTATCTTCATCATTTGGTACACACACGGTTCCTTCTTGGGCATAGATGTTAGTGGGGATGGCCACACCCTTGTTACATACTCCCAGCTCGCCAAGTGGGGCCAGTGCCCAACCTGGAAAAATTTCACTGTTTCACATTTCACAGCTGGGAATCAGGTCTTCTCCTTTGAAAATAATCCATGTGATTACTTCCAGGGTGGCAAAGTAAAAGCCATGACCCTTTCCCTTTCTGTTTTGGTTGCCATTGAAATGTTCAACTCCCTTAATGCCCTTTCCGAAGATGGGAGCCTCTTGACAATGCCTCCATGGGTCAACCCTTGGCTCGTTCTGGCCATGTCCGTGTCATTTGGCCTGCACTTCTTGATCCTTTATGTGCCATTCCTTGCTCGGGTATTCGGTATCGTGCCTTTAAGCTTTAATGAATGGCTGCTGGTTCTGGCTGTTGCATTCCCCGTGATTTTGATCGATGAGATCTTGAAGTTCATTGGGAGGTCTACAAGTGGGACAAAATCATCCAGGCAAAGACCTTTAAAGCCCAAATCAGAGTGAGACAACTTGGTAGAAATTTGATAAGTTGGATGGTGCTTCTGATACTGCCTCTGAACAGATTAAATTCTTGGGAACTCTTCTTAACCATCTGAGTTCTGTTATTGGCCCCATCTGTAACCCCCATTCAATTTTACAAAGGGCGATGGTTTGGACCACAAATAACTGGTTTGGACCACAAATAACTAGCTAAACTATTCCTTCATCCCTTCTGTTTTGTATTAGTAAGTGTTAACTTACCTCCTTTAATCATTTGCCCACATGTGTGGAAAAGATTGATGCCAAATTACTTTGTAAAACATTACTGTCCTTTGTTTCTCTTTCCTTCTCCAACTAGAGATGGAAAAGTAAGAACAAGACAGACGGAACTTGAACATTCAAGCTTTATCATCACAAATAATTTGTTTCTTTTTCTCATCCTTTGATCCTCCATTCCTCTGCATAACTGATTTAGGAAACATAGATAACTTTTTATCTCTTGTTTTCCTTTTTTTGGATACAAGTCATTTTGGACATTAAAACGAACCGAATATGATAGAATTAATGTATGTTTGTGATTTATTTGTTTATTTTTAGATATATTCGTGTTCGTTAAGAAAATTGTTTTGTTTGTTCATATTCGTTCATGTTTATTCGTTTAAATAATAAGCTGTTCGTTCATTTTCTTATAGAGTAATCTCATTAATGAAATAATGGTATTCATGCTCTTACTCACAAATATGCAAAATTTAGGTCAAGAGATCTTTCTTTTCACTCAAAATTATTTACTAAATTTCATATAATTTTCAGGTTAAAAAATATTTTTTTCTCAATAATTTAGTGTTAGCTTCACAATGGCCTATTCATGTTGAATTTGAAGCCCTTTTATGATCATAGCTCTTTTCTCGTTTACATAGCAGTACATAATATTGTTTTGAGTTAATTACCTTTTTTTTTTAATTTAAAAAAAAGGTGTACAAATTCATTTTTAAAGAATTAAAATATATAATTTACGTTTTGAAATTTTAAATTATGTATCATATTAATTCAAATTTTAATTTTGTTATCTTTTAATAAATATTATTAAATTATGTGTTCTCAACATATATTATTAACATATTTTTTAATATAAATTAAGAAAAATTTTTTTTTTACTTAAACCTTAATAGGATTGATCAATTATTATTTATTTGATGATATTCAAATGAAATTTTTACAAAATATTTAACATTTTTATTTAACAAATATCATGGATATAATAAAATTATATTTACTATAAATTATATAGAGAGCTAAGTTAAAAGTATTAAAATTTGGATTAAAATGATATTTAATTTAAAAGTTTAAGGTGTAAATTGTATATTCTAATTCTTTAGATATCAATTTATATATTTTCCTAAAATTCAAGTACCATAATTGTAATTATCTCCATTAATTTCCATGGTGATGGTTTAGATAAGTGTTGGATCTTTAAGCAAAGCTGCGCAACTCCTTTCACCTACTGTACGCATGAAGCAAGGGGTTAGATACTTGGAATCACCAAACCTCTTAACCGTTCTTTTTATCTCTCTTTACTTGTTATAAACACTTCCCATAAAGATTTTCTGCAACCAAGAAACAAAAAAGTTGTGTCATTTGTAGGAGGTACAAAGAAGTCGACGGAGAAACCAGTGACCGGCGGCAACCTCCCACTTTTTGACAGTTCGAAACAAATGGAACTCCAAAAACTCCCCAAAACAGCTAAACCCAAAGTCTCTCCCACACTAGCTGAGCTCCTAATGATTGTAGACGACGCCCCAAATGATGCCTCTGGTAACAATACCCTGGTTGGTCATCGAGCACTTGAGCTTGGTTATGCTTGTAGCTCACTCCCATCATCGTATCCATTTGTTCTTTCTTTTAACAACTTAACTTACAGTGTCAAAGTTCGGAAAAAGTTGGCATTGCCGTTTTGTGGGAAGGGCAATGAGCTTGATTCTCATGGGATTAACACCAAGGTATTGTTGAATGATATTTCGGGTGAAGCAAGAGAAGGTGAAATCATGGCGGTTCTTGGTGCAAGTGGGTCAGGTAAATCCACTTTGATTGATGCACTTGCGAACCGCATTGCAAAAGAGAGCCTAAAGGGTTCTTTAACTTTGAATGGTGAGGTTTTGGAGTCGAGACTTTTGAGGGTGATTTCTGCTTATGTCATGCAAGATGATCTTCTGTTTCCAATGCTTACTGTCGAAGAGACACTCATGTTCTCGGCTGAGTTCAGGCTTCCTCGCTCGCTTTCTAAGAAGAAGAAGAAGGCTAAAGTTCAAGTTCTGATCGATCAACTAGGCCTGAGAAGTGCAGCAAAGACTGTGATTGGAGATGAAGGACATAGAGGTGTCTCTGGAGGTGAACGTAGGCGAGTTTCAATCGGAATTGACATAATTCATGATCCAATTGTCCTGTTTCTTGATGAACCAACTTCCGGGTTGGACTCAACAAGCGCATTCATGGTTGTCAAGGTCTTGCAGCGAATTGCGCAGAGTGGAAGCATTGTGATCCTTTCCATTCACCAGCCAAGTTACAGAATTATGAGCTTACTTGACCGTTTGATTTTCCTTTCACGTGGACATACTGTGTATAGTGGCTCTCCAGCGAGCCTGCCCCTTTTCTTCGCTGAATTTGGGCATCCGATTCCGGAGAAAGAGAACAGGACTGAATTCGCTCTTGATTTGATTCGTGAGCTCGAAGAAACTCCTGGTGGGACAAAAAGCTTAGTTGAATTCAACAAGTCATGGCAGGCTAGAAAGAATCCGAGAAATGGCTTCTCCAGCAAACCAAACCTTTCACTTAAAGATGCAATTAGTGCCAGCATTTCTCGAGGAAAGCTAGTCTCGGGTGCAACAAATGATTCCAATTTAACATCTTCAGTGCCAACTTTTGCCAATCCATTTTGGATTGAAATAATAGTTATTGCCAAAAGATCGGTTACAAACTCAAGAAGAATGCCTGAATTATTTGGAATTCGCTTAGGTGCAGTTCTTGTCACAGGGATCATCTTAGCTACCATATTTTGGCAGCTAGACAATTCACCTAAAGGTATCCAAGAACGTTCAGGCTTCTTTGCTATTGCCATGTCCGCCACCTTCTACACTTGTGCTGAAGCAATCCCTGTCTTCCTTCAAGAAAGATACATCTTCATGAGGGAAACAGCATATAATGCTTATCGCCGGTCATCATATGTATTGGCTCACTCTCTAATTTCCATTCCTTCTGTGGTCATCCTATCTATCTCCTTCGCTGCAATAACCTTTTGGGCAGTAGGCCTTGCTGGGGGCCTTTCCGGGTTCTTTTTCTTCTTCTTAACAATCTTTGCCTCCTTTTGGGCTGGAAGCTCTTTTGTAACATTCCTTTCAGGCATCGTCTCTCATGTTATGTTAGGTTTCACTGTCGTTGTTGCCAGCTTGGCCTATTTCCTGCTATTCAGCGGATTCTTCATTTCTAGAGATAGGATACCCTTATATTGGATATGGTTTCATTACATCTCTCTGGTGAAATATCCTTATGAAGCTGTTCTGCAGAACGAATTCAATGATCCAACAAAATGCTTCGTTAGAGGTGTACAAATGTTCGACAACACACCTCTCGGGGCGGTGCCAATGTCACTGAAGTTGAAGCTATTGCAAAGTATGAGCAGTGTCTTGGGCGTGAACATCACAAGCTCAAGTTGTGTGATAACCGGTAGGGATATTCTGGTGCAGCAGGGTATAACTGATATAAGCAAATGGAACTGCTTATGGATCATTATTGCCTGGGGATTTTTCTTTAGAATTCTATTTTACTTTACATTGTTGTTGGGGAGCAAGAACAAGAGAAGGTAAATAAAATGGTAATGGGATTTCAATTTCTTGTTAAACAGTTAAATTCTTGCCCTGGTCTTGCCAGTACTGCCTTCGAAGAAAAGTCTTGCCGTCACACCAAAGCCTACGCAAGCAAGTGGATACGATGTGTGGGAGTTAAAGTAGAATTTATCATGGCTTGGCTAAAGCAGCTTTGCAGGGGAATTTATCTCCTTTTATATCTTAATAATAACATGGCAAGACATGTGGTCTGTACTTGTCTGTTATATACATTTAGTTAAACTGTAGATGGCGGTAAATTGTAAGGTTTCCAGTTTCCTCCAGGGATATCTGAGAGCCAAATGCAAATTACTGTACTAGTTGTTTGGACATTTAATGTTAATTACTTGAAATACGAGTGGAAATTGTCAAATGCGACCCTTTTTAACAGTTGTCTGCGCCATTTTCTATCCATGGATTTGATCTTTGTGGTTTAGTTTTGATCCTAATTGTGATATCAGTATCTCCCACCTGATTGACTTCAGGATTCAATCTTGGTGTGGAAGTAGCTAGGTTTTCTATATCAAAAAACTTATGCATCTGAAATTAATCATACGGAAAAAGAAGGATGAATCTTTAAATATATTTTACAATTTCTCACTGCAAAATGTGAAACCATTGAAACCTTCAATCTGAAGAGAACACCTTTGTCTCCAACTGGTATGCTTTTGTGAAGAAGGCAGGCCAACAGAGGTATGTTGACATGATGCTGCTAACAGTAGTGGCACCAATTAGCATGTTCATCACAACAATCTGCAGTTGAATTGCCTCTAGTGGAGAAGCGCCACCCATAATGAGGCCAGTCATCGCCCCTGGAAGTGAGATAAGACCCACTGTTTTGGCATTGTCCAACACTGGAGAGAGTGCAATGACTAGGGCCCTTTTCACTTGTTCTAGAGTTGCTTGACGCGGAGTTGCCCCAAGAGCCAAAGCTGTCTCCACCTGTAAATGATGGCAAGCCATATGAAGCCAATGACTGAGTTGCAAAATTTCAGAATCAGGGCTTGTTGAAATGTTTATTAAACAGATGTGCTTTGAAGGACATATCAATCAAATCAAGGGAGATTCAAAAGAAGACCAAAAGGACGAAGGAAATTGATGGCCAAGCTTTCAAGATCAAGGAGATTTAGTTCTCGAGCATGAATGAGGAAAATCAGGTTATTTTCCCACAAGAGAAAAACAACATTGCATAAATGTTCAGTTCCTCCCAACTTCATAAAACCATTGATTGGTATTTGCTATATTGGAACTTACCAGGTTCATTTGTATCTTGATATCATCTCGAAGTCTTTTCATTGTGACTCCGGTTACTGTCATTGCATTTCCAACCATCATTCCTGCTACAGGGATAATATATCGCGGAGTGAAAGGGAAAACGTTTAGTACAACAAGAACAAGCATGGTCACTGCTGTTCCAGCGAGGATCGATGCTCCAGCAACGTACTTCCCGCGAGGCACATGTTTAGCACGTTGGCCAGCTGTATATCCAGCAACAAAAACCTGCAACCCATGTTTCCAAGCACCCATTGGTCATGGACTATTGAGAGTGAATGTCAAGTTGTGAGGAAATTATCATTGATAAGCAAGATCCATTTCAATTCAGAGATGTCCCAAATTTGAATTGAAGATAACATGTTTCTCTTTGCTATTTTTTATTGACAGGCAACATAATTAGGTGAAATTTCTGGAGATCAGAACTGCGGTAACATAATCTGCTGTGTTCTTGTTTGGACAGCACGTGTGACTCTACACACAAGTTAAGAAAGTACCAAGTAGGATTAAATAGATTAGCAAACACTAAGGGTTCATTTGGGGTCCAGCCATAAAACATTCCCTCTCGTGCTGTGAGAGCCCTCTGATTGACCTCCCAAATGGACTGTAAGAAATTGTCAGTATCTGGGGTTTCATATTTTTCTCCAACAAGTCAGCAGGTGATTCTGTTTTTGGTCATGTCAGGTAAGCCAACTATATGTATAAAAATCTCTGTACCAAATTGGAAATAACAAATAAATAATAGCCATGAGAATTCTGCTTCATGTGGTCAATAAAGTAAAGAAAGGTGGTAAATTTGATATTCAAGTCCCATACTTTTCAATATTTCAGACTTACTAACACAAAAATTCAACTCAAATTGAACTAAAATGTCAATGGAATGTAACCAAAAAAAAAAAAGAAACATTAATCTAAAAGATAAAAACTTTATCCAAATCAGTTAAACAAAAACGAAAGAAAAGTTGAAGTCAAACCATGAAAAGATAAGCAAGAACGATCCACCCACTGTTCTCCTGATTGAAAATGAACTGAAGAACAAAACCAATCACAGAAAGCTGAAGAAAAGCTCTGAAAATAGAATAAACCATCTCTTTTTCCAAACCCAACTTTTGCATGAAAGACAAGAACACTGCCATGAGAACCACCGCAAGGGCAGCCACTGGCTTGATCATACCCTTCAGGAACTCATAAAACCAATCCCAATCCATTGAAAGTCGAACCTGTAACTGATAATCCACCGAGTTGATGTTCACGGAGTGGCTCGTTAGCTTTTCGGCGGGTGTTTATGTGGTTGAAAAACGTAGAAACTACCTTCCCCTGGTGACAATGCTCCAATGAGACATCTCGTGGCGTTATTATTTGAAATAGTAATTAAAATTAAGATTCTGATAATGAAGTTGATTTTGTCTTTTTTTAAGTTTTTTTTTTTTTTTTAATTTATTCTTTGAAACAAGTAACGGGGGCGTACGTACGATTGATACGAACCAGGAAAGGTTTGTCCCCAGTCCCCACGTTCCCCATGTAAACGTGGCAGTGGATTTAACGGATGTAACAGTGACGTCATCGGTGACATAATAGATAATTCATGAAGAAGTTTTGGGAGGCTTTGGATTTGGATATTGTGTATAATTATTTATTAAAATCATTTTAAATATATAATTTATAATTATTTATTTTAGAGTATTAAGTATAAAATATTTTATTTTAATTTGAAGATTGAATAATTTATTTATTTTAAATTTTAATAACAAAAAAATTAAAAATTTAACTTTATATAAGAATTAAATTTAAGTTTTTAAATGAAATTATAAATCAGAATTTTTTTAAATATTAATTTTAATAACAAGTATTTAATGAAAATTTTTTATATTTTTGACATTAATTTTTAATAGTTCATAAAATTATCAGAAAATTATATATATTTTTATTTTGTTTACTTTTTATTATAATAAAACAAAATTATTTTTTAAACATTAAAAGTTGTGATTAGCAATTAGCAAAAGAAACAATAACATTAGCACAGGTTTATTAGAGACCAAGTGTACCTCAGATCTCACCTGCCAAGTTGGAACGACTCGTTAAAATAAAAGCATAGAGGAAGAATATTTTTCCATGGGTGATTGAAAATGGAATCTGCTCCACGAAATTGATTATCCAATATACAGTATTAAAGATTATGAAATCGACAAAACTGCTGGGAATTAAAAAAAAAAAAAAAAGGAGGCCAAGAATGCTTCTGGTTCACACGCATCTTCTTCATAGTAACGGATGTATGACTGATTAGAAGTCGCGATGGAATTAAATTAGATTTGATTCGATTTTTTAATAAATATATAATTAAAATATTTTAAATTTAATTTGAATTTGAATTAAAATTTTATTAATTTAGTTTGATTCATTAATTTTTAAATTTTAAATTTTTATATTATTTTAATATAATTTTTAATATATTTAAATAAATTTAGATATAAAATAATTTTTTTTATTTTATAAAATTTTAAAATATATAAAAAATTAATAAAAATATACAATTTGATTAATCTTTTTAAAATTTTTAAATTTAATTTACATTTAAAATTGTAACAGTGAATTATTGTTATTTTTTAAATTTAATATTATTTTTTTTCAACACAAGTTGTAGTCTATGAATAAGAGAGAGGATTATAAATAATATTAAATTTTAAATTTTAAATTTATTAAATATCCTATCTTAAAAATATTATATAAAATAATTAAAATAAATCCTACTTTAGGTTAAGGAAAGAGCAAGTGCGCTCATATTTCAATCCTAATGGTATAATCCCCATTGCAAACCCTTGATTTCTTTCTCTTTTCAGATTGGACCCAGAAGGAAAATTTATTGGGCTTCAGTATTGTGAGCAAGACCCAAAATCTGCCTTCAAGGCCGAATTAGAAAAGCCCAAGTATGATTCTTGTTAAATTCTCTTTTAATTTTTGCGCATGACCATGGCTAAAGATGTCGAGGACATTGGATCCTTAATGCATTTCTCTTTTAATTCTAGCAGACATTGATAGATTTTGACTAAAGTAAAGAGGCGCTTTCCAGCTAAAATACTGTCAGATGTAAGCTTTTCTACTTTCTTTCCTGTTGCAAATTTAACCTTTGGAATTGATCTGGCCATTGCTTTGAAACACTTTTAGCCTTTAATCATCACACCTTGCAGACATGGAAGTGCACAAGGATCATCTTTATTTCTTTGCTTGGTAGTCTTTTTGAGGTTTGGTTTTCTCTTATGCCAGTGGAAAACCTGCTGCTTCCACCTGTACCATTCTATCATGCAAATTTGTTGACATAGTATTTTATGGTCATCTTTCTCTTGGTCGGTTTTGGGTCCCTTATGTGGTATGTAGACCTGTTCAAAGTTCGGATTAGATTAAATCGAGTATGATATAATAATTTAATATTTTAAATAAATTCAAGCTCAATCCAATTTGATCTAATTTTTTGAGTTTCATTTTTTATCTAAATCTGTTTTTATATATAATAATAAAATCTAAACTTACTCGAAATAGTGATATTTAAAATTGAAAAAAAAATTTAAAAATTTATTTTTTGCTAATTATTAATTTAACTAACTTAATTAATTTAAATTGAATTTATGAATCATTTGAGTTTGGATCTAATTTAATTTTATTAAATACAATTTAAAATTGAATCATTATTTTATATAAAAAAAATGAGTTTTATTATATTATAAATAATAAAGCAAATGGGCTTTGTTTATTATAAAAAATAAAATAAATAGATTTTATCTCATTATAATAAAAAAATATTTTTAAATTTTTGAACCAAGTCCAAGTCGTATTTTATTTCTTGATCGGGTTTCATTTATTTGTTCACATCCATTTAACAGGCTTAACATTTATGTCCAAGCTTTTCAAAATTTTGGACAGGCTTTCAATTTGAGCAAGCCGTCTAACCCATGAGCAAGTTTGATCGCATGCATTTCACTTACAATATTTTTTATTATAATTCTATAATTATTCAACGAGTATAAAAAATTATGTAAAGGTTTTTTTATGTCAATTTCATATAAAATTTTAATAAATTTCACATAATTTTGAATTATAATTAATTAATTATAGTTCAACCATGGTAGATCATATGCTTTCCTTGCTAAACTATTAAATGAGTCACTCTTATGAGTGCTACGAGTTATTTTGTTGGTAAATGGTAACATTGAAGTTTTTCTAGTAGTAGTATTTGTATGACATTTTCTCCGAGGCATTAAAGAATAGGGAAATGGACTTATTTACCATGGAAGAAGTGAAAGAATCAGAATATTGTGAGTGTAAAGGGTGACAACTGACGACAATGAACCCACAAGATTGCCTTGTTCATGGATGCTTAGTTTCTTCTACCAAGTTTTCTCTAGTTATACATAGTTTAGCTTGCAAACAGACAATAGGATGGAGTATATATATATATATATATAGATGGGGCAAGCTTTTCTTTTTCTCTTCTGCTTGTTTTGTTGCTCATCAAAGTTGGTAGAGATAATGAAAAGAAATCCGGTGTCAAGATGCTTGAGCTGGACACCGACTTGAGGACAAAAACCCAACATTCCCTGCAGCCATTCCATACTAATTCTAATTCTACTCCACCAACATCCCCCATTATGTTCCACACACATGATCACCCAAATACAGAATAAAAATAAAGGAGCTTATTTTCAAGATTAAAATAAAAAATTATTAATAATTTTATTTTAATGATAAATGAGAGAGAGTTTTATTATATCGAAACATAATTTTATCATTATGATCTAATGAAATATAATATGTTGTAAATGCTAAAAAAGAATATTTATGATCGTACTTTTTGACATAAAGATTTTATATCTGAGTTTAATCCGTAATTGTTTATTAAATTATCTTAAATGTATGATCTTTAATAATTTATTTATTTTTAAATTTTATATAAATAATAAAAAAGGCATTTATGATCACGCTACAACCTAAATGGACTGATTGAGATTGCATAAAATTACAACATATTCAAGATATTTGTGGTCATACACAAAATATTTCTCGGTATTGATGGCTTGCATTGTATGGAAATGAAGTAGACAACGGTGATTAGTTTAAAATAAAAAAAAAAAATAGATAAATAATTAGTCAGCCAAATTTTTCACATAAAAAGCCGCAATACTCAAAACTCCCACGCACTGTAAATTAAAGGTATCCAAAGCACATGATCCTATATGATGATGGAAGAAGAGACAACAATGATGGCGGCACTCTCCACCCTCCGCCCTTCCCAACTCTCGGATCTCAGCTACTCCATCATGTCCCTCTCTTTCCACCACCGCTGCCGCCTTTGCTTCCTCCTCTCCTCCCCTTCTCTCTTCTCTCTTACCCTCCACCACCTCCACTCCCTCTCATTCTCCCAAAAGACCCTTCTCATTGCCCGCCACCTCCTTTTTTCCCTCCATCACCTCACACGTCACTTCCAGCCTCCGCCACCACTGCTGCTACACCCTTCCGCCGCTATAAAACACCGTGACCTAGACGCTGTGCTTCTCCTCCTCTTTCTTTGTGAAACAAACCAACATAATCCAGAAGCCCTCGAGAGACCTCACGCTGAATGGCGTGATATCTTAAGTAACCTCTGCTCTGATACTATGTTAAAGATCACTGGTATTACTGGCGTCGTCGATGGTGCTGCTCTGATTCCATATATGGAAATGGTGAAGAGGTGTAGACGGTTTGTTGGAATAATGGGTTGTGTCGGTAAGGAAGGGAAGGAGGTGGCGGCATCAATAGCAGCGGTGGTGGCGTTACCAGCGGTGGAGGTGAGAAGGGGTGGCGTTGAGTGTGTGATATGCAAAGAGGAGATGAGAGAAGGAAGAGACGTTTGTAAGTTGCCATGCCAGCACTTGTTCCATTGGATGTGCATATTGCCTTGGCTGAAGAAGAGGAATACGTGCCCCTGCTGCAGGTTTCAGCTTCCCTGTGATGATATATTCGGTGAGATCCAACGGCTGTGGGGAGTCCTGGTCAAGGCCAGTGGTAAAAGTCTTGATGCAGGATGGACATGATTGAATGATGATGACACATGGGAGAATCAGGATGGTGGATGGGGTAATGAATGGTATTGTTTTCATGAAAAAGACACATGTGGTTAGGTTTGGATAAGAGTCTCTTACAGATTTGAATTCTGTTATTATCTTTCATCATCAAAGTATATTTTTAATTGTGTAATCTTCTTTTCTGTATGTATAGCAGAGCAAATGAAAGCTGGGTTTTTGCCGAAACCTAGAAGAAAGGAAGATTGAGATGGTGAATTATTTGATATAGTCTTAATGTTGTTAATATCTTTCATGATCAAATTTATTGTTAGTTCATTGCATTTTTGTTGTTTGTATGTTTAGCAGCAAAAGGAACGTTGGATTTAGAAGAAAGTAAGCCATTTGTTATATGCTTTTATTATGCAAATATGGAATCATATATTTTTTTTTATAAAAAAGATTATAATATGAAATACATTAAAGAGATTGTAAGTATTAAAATTTTAATTTCAAATATATTATTTTAAAAAATAATTATATAAATTAATTAAAATAAAGCTCGGATTTGAAATTATCTTATTTGTATATTCATCTTCATAAAAATTCCACATGTGAGTTATAACACTATTTATATATTAAAACCTTGAAGATTTCGAATGGGTCCTGTTCAAAGAAAATTAAGGTCCTTCCCTGTCTTAATTAATGGGTTCCTTGGGTAAGAAAAGGTCGAAATCAACCCATTTTAATATCCATTGGCCCACAGAGAAAGGCCCAACCTAGTTCCCGAAATTAGTAAACATCATAGGTTAAGAACATGACCCAAAAGGAAACTTGGCTCTACTAGCCTGCTTTAGTTGGGCCTTATTTTTTTAAAGCCCATCATATTCCTCGGGCATCCAATCCTTCTTCAAACCTCTTTTTGAGTTTTTTTTTTTTCAAATTCTCCCAAATTACTTGTACTTTTTGGTCATTTTGGTGAGTGGTGTGTTATATGGTAATTTAAAAAATAATATGAACACATTATATGAATATAATATAAAAAAAAAACATAAAAATGATACAATTTAAAATTTTGATGATAATTATATATAAATTTAATAAAATAAAAAATATATATTATATTTTTATATCAACATGAATTGTAATATATAATTTTTATATAAAATATAATATAAATATATAAATTTTAATATTTTATACAACAAAAATTCACTTATATTCAGATTTAGCTTCCATTCATCCAAATATCTCCTATCACTCCAAAAAAGATATTAAAAAGAACAGTGGTCCACTTCTTGACAATGAGAGTGCTCTTAAAGCTGTACTGGCGCAATATCAAGTACCAGGTTTCTCAAATTGGGTTTCTTTGAGTGAAGTGTAAGCTAATTTTCCATACTGTAGAATCATACAAGCATGTAATTATGCCTTGCTTCTATAATTTTTTATGATTTCATAAAAACATTAATCACTTCCAACTTATCAGTTCTTGTCATTTGTCACCATGGCTTTGCTTATCTTTTGGGTTATATCATTGGCTCAAAGTCGACAAGTTTGATTCATCATCTAAATATCATAAAACTATAAGGAAGCCTTATTTACGAAGACTTGTAAATTGCAATGACAATATTTCAAGATTATACTCATCAAATAGAAACAAAAAATCAGAATTTAGAAAATGGGTTGTCTTTTCATTAACAAGAAGTGACAAATACAATAAGAGAAGAAACATACATGTTATTTCAAACTTTACTCAATGAATAGTAGATCACAGAAAATGTTTGGTTAGTTGATGCAGATTTTCTTTGATAATATATGTGAAAATCTCAGCAATAAAAAGAAAAAATAAACAGTTGATCATTATGACATTGTTTGCTCTCATTCTCAAGATTTGGGAAAAGGTAAATGGGGCAAGTATAAGTATAATGATAAAAGTTGTGTCATGAAGTTGTGGCAGTTAAAAACAATAGGCTAGTTTGATAAGGATACAATGCTTTGCTGTTAAGGAATAAGTTTGATTTTTGCTTTTATAAATTTATTTAATGGATGATCTGTAAATTTAATGTAAATATTTTATGAAACTTATGATTTGTTTTAATCATGTACTACCAAAAGCCTCTCCTCACCCTAAACTTAAAAAAAGAAAAAAAAAAAAAAAGGCCAAATTTTCTATTTGGAGGATGGATATAAGCCACCTGAGATCAGAAAGAGTCCAAGCCTTGACCTTGGATTTTCAACACCTGGTAGCTGCATCAGAATCTTTTGTTTTGCTTACAGGCTACAGCTTACTTCTGCTGCCATTTTTTTACAAGCTGCATAGTGAGTGAGCTCTGATCTGTTGTATTCATGAAATGGTAACTGAAGACTGAAGTAGAGGGAAGATTTTAGTGTTTTGGTGTACTGACATTCCAGAATCAAGGATATTACAAGAACTTTAGTAACAGGCTAAAGTCAAGATCATTGCAAATGATTGCTTGCAACAAGGAAGACAAAATGGAGGTGGGTTCTCTTGTTTTCCCATTTGTGCTTCCCACTGATTCATAATGTAATTTGGGTTCCTTTTGTTTTCACCTCTCAGTGAAAAGAAGATGGAAGGAGATGGTGGATTAAGGACTGTGGAGCGCTTGAGAGGAAGGCTTCTTGCAGAGAGACAAGCTTCAAAGACTGCAAAAGAAGATGCTGAACTTAAGGGCAACAAGGTCAGGTTTTGTTCCTTCAATTTAGGTGTTTAAGCATTAATAATTATAGTTTCTGTTTATTGTATTTGTTGTTCTTCAACTGCAGGTAATAGAACTAGAGAACAAACTCAAAGAAGAGACCAAATTGAGGAACAAAGCTGAGAAGAGGCTCAAGTTGTTGAAGAAGAAGCTTGAGTCCCTCACAGTATTGCCTAGTTTGGAAGAATCAGAGCAGTCAAGTTCGTCCGAGCTTTGTGCAGTTTCTAGTGTTTCATCTGCAAGTAGTTCAGCTACTAAAGACCCAGAAGAATCTGCTTCCAAGTCCCAAAACGCAGTTCCAGAAATCTCAAAAAATGTAGAGGAAAATCCATTGGAGACCACTACATCTATAAAAAGCCTTGAAATTTCTATCAGTGAAGAAAATTCAAATTCTCCAGGGACTACTAAATCTGATACAAATGATTCTTTGCATGAAAAGTCCAGTGGTAAATCAAGTTCAAGCCATGAAGATCCAAAGATTGAGGATACGAGGTACCCACTTTCATTCCCACATTGTCCCATTTCATTTGTTCAAGTATAAAACACCCTAATTAAGTTAGTTTGATCACTTTATACCATTCATTTCAGTTCTTCAAGCTTGAAAGCTTCAACAGTGGAGATTGCTGTGAATGGAGGAAATGTGAATTATGAGGGTGATGATCATGTTGATAACTCATTGGCATTGGTTCCTCTGAAACTACCAGAAACCAAACTGGCCCCTGATCAGATAAAGGTGGTCAGCAAAAGTATACGTGAAGTTCTTGATACTTTAAGGCATGCCAGGGAAAAAATTCAGAGCTCAATGGAAAGAAAACAAATGATTAGAGTTAGACCATCTTGAATTCATGCTAGTAAACAGTAATTATTGTCCCATTCAGATAGTAAAACAGAAAATGACATGTTCTTTTCTTGCATTGATGCAAAATGGCAAGACAGATAAGTGAAAGGGCATAATATTATATTGCCTTTTTCAGATTATTTGGTTGATATCAAAGTTCTTTGAGAGCATGTGAGGTGGGGATGTGACCCTATGTTTACCATACTGACTTGGGCCCCAAGGTTCAGCCACATGCACTTTTTCATATCCTCCACTTTGGGTTTGATCGAGTTTAAATAGCAAATCAGGTTCTTATTTGAGTTTCATGTAAGAAAATTTATAGTTTGTGATTAGTTTACTAATATGTCACTCAATCTTAGAATTTTAAGAATTCTTAAATATCTAGCTTTGTGATGCTACTAACTTACGGTTTATTTAAAAATTTGATTGAAATTTAAATCATATAAAAAATATGTATTTAAAAATTCAATAATAAAATGTATTTAAAAATACAATTTAATAATCCGATCATAAAATGCATTTTTCAAGACAACGAAACCCTCTAATTGAGCTTCTAAATGAAGCTTTAGATCAATTGACCCCGGATTTTTCCTCAATTTCCTTCGCTCATGCCCTTTACCTTGAATTAATGAATCAACCCTGGCATGAGACGTTAGGGGAAGTCGCTGGAAAAATCCTACTGTTACTAACAATCCTTTTTGTTGAAAAGCTGGAACGTGCCAGCTTCATTGATATACTTGATAAAGTTTTGGCTCAAACGAGGTTTATCCAAAAGAAAATTGATTGAAGTTCGACAAACATGCTATGAAGATCTGAAACATATTCCCTCAGTTGACCTATGCAGTTTCGTCAGTGATTCACGTGCAGCATATCACGTGTTAAGTAAAATCCATGCCATGCTTTTGCAAAGGAAAAAAAAGGGGAAACCTCTTAATTAGATTTAGCATTTATTTGTAAAAATGTTTAAACATGGAAACAATCTTTAAACTTGCATCCAAATAAATTTAGTGATTTGTATATTTATATCATGTAAAATATTAAAATTTATATATTTATATCATAGTTTATACAAAAATTATATATTATAATTTATATTGACATAAAATTATAAAATATATTTATTTTAATTTTGTTAATTATATATATTTATTATTAAAATTTTAAGATTTATCATTTTTGTGTCTTATTTTAATATTATATTATTATATCATATTTTAAATTATTAAATCTATATTCAAATTTCGATTATGAAAATTTTCTATCATGCAAACAGTAAAAAAAACTTCTTTTCCATTTTCTTACTCTTATATCACTCTTACTTTCTATCCTGCTTTTCAATCTTTTCCTACCAAGAGAGCCTAACCAAACTTGGTAAAAAGGTCATTTGGCAGTAACTCAGCTCCCCCGTCTAGAGAAGGCAAAAAAATTCGGATCCGACGGTTTCGGTTCGATCCGATTTTTTAGGATCGATTTTTTATTTTTGAAAATTTGATGTCGAGTCGGGTCGGGTAATATGAAAAAAAAGTCAAGGTCGGGTCGAGGTCGAGTTTTAGGTAAATCCGACCCTACCCGACCCGATATATAAATAATTTTTTAATTTTTTATTTATATATATATTTATATAATGATATTTTTAAATATTTATATTTAAAAAATAATATTTTATTAATTTCGGATCGAATCGAATACAATTTATATAATATTGGATCGGGATCGAAATCAAATTCGGATATAAAAAAATTAAAAAATATATTCGGGTAGGATCGAGTCGGGTTCAGGGCGAGCAAAACTCGCCCAAACCCGACCCGATGCCAACCCTACCCCCATCTCAGTGAACACCAATCAGCTTAACTAAGAAATGATGAACAGAGATATTTTCTACCAGAATCTGATTCCTCGATCATGTTTAGCCTGTCTTCCATACAAAAATATCCAACCAAAAGACAAATTCCAAAGAAGCTAATTGTTGTTAATTTGTTATGAACACTTCAACTTCAGATAAAGAACAGGGAAAAAAAAAAACCAAATTATTACATGACCAAACAATGAACTGAGGAAACATTAAAGAGCCTTCACAAACAGCGTAATTACCTGGCAGATCAGCCAATTCGCCTGGTGAGACCAAGGGAAGCTAGCAATCACCTTACAGTGTTCACTTATCTCAAATATAGAACCAGAAAAATCAGAAATTCTGACGTAATAGGCTCAGAAAAAGTTTTAGCTTTTGGATCACATAATATCATCACCCATTGAAAATATTCTCCATAAGCAATCTTCATATTATAAAACATTTCCCAGTTTTCAACATTTATCTCATGATCAAATGCTGGACAGCAGTAGTAACATATCCGTGATTGATGGTTTTCGGGTTGGATTTTGGTTTAGAATTTGATTATACTCGATTGAAAAAGTGAGAAAAATAAAAAATGAAATGAAATAAAAGTTTGAGATTGGTGTAATGAAAAAAATTGATTTTTATTTTAAATTTAAGATGTTTTTAATATTTAAATGTGAAGAATATTTGTGAAAGGGGTGAGAAAAAATTGAAAAAATGATAATTGATTTAAAATTATAGTGTTCGATTTAATTTAAATTAATTTTATTTTTTATTTAAATTAAATTTAAATATTAAATGTATATATTAAATTTAAATTAAATTTTAAATCGAGAGATAAAAATAAAAAAAATAAATTAAATTATATATTTTTTAACATTTATATATATTTAAAATTTTTATAAAATAAAAATAATATTTTTATATTAAAATAAATATAAAAAAATAATAAATAATAAATTAAATCAAACCAAATTAATTCAAATTATATTAAATTTTAATTTAAATTGAATTTATAATATTTAAAAAATCGAATCAATTCGAACAAAATTGGTACGGCGCACAACTTCTTATAAAAATTATAGCTGTATAAAGATTTTCCGGGGTGCGTTCGAACCATCCCAAAAAAATTGATAACGACAAGACATGATCACGTGTAGTTAAATGATACAGTGTTCGTACCAGATAATCATAGACACTCGAGTGGAGCCCACTCAGTCAAAACAACCGGTCAAACCCAACCTTGCCGCTAAAACTTACAACTCACAGTTAAGCCTCTGCCTCTGTCAGTCTGTCTCCCTGTCTACGACTTAAATTTGCAAAACTCATCACCTTTGTCGTACACGTCATCATCAATCTGAATCAGCCCTGGTGATTTTAACATCGGCTTAAACGAAAAGCCCGCTAATTCAGCACGTGCCAATCAAGATTGTAATTGTAACGACTAGAATCGGCGACAAAAAGCTTCGAACAATCAGCAGCTTCAATCAGGAGCTTAGATAAAAATAATAAAAAAAAACTGAAAATTTTGTTACAGAAACCAAGAAACATCCTCAGATCTTCCGAATCATACGAATTAAACCCAAAATTTTTGTTAATAAAAAGAAGGAAACCAGCATACAGCTGTTAATCAACCCGACAATGATGGAGTCGAACTTGAATCTCCTTCAATCTCTCGAACCAAAGAGGTACTTCACTTTTCTTGTTCCTACATTTGTTTTTTAAACCCTGTTTTTTTTTTTTTTGACAATTTCTCGGTTTTGGTGTTCAACTACTGTTTCAGTTTAGCAAATTTTGAAAAAAAAATAAAAACAATTAATTATAACTGCTTTCACTGATCAGTTACCTTGTTCAAGTTCTTATTGTTTTTCTTTTGAATGGGTCTTTGTTTTTTTAACTAAAAAAAGTAGAATCATTGGTTTATTTTTAGATGGATTTTTGAGCAGTGTAAACTTTAGTAACAAAAGAGTTGTGGGCGTTTTTCTTTGTGAAATGTGGCATAAGTCTAATGTAAAGCAAAAGAAAGCCATGGGAAGTTATAGAATTGCAAGTGTTTGTCAAGTATGTTGTTGTCCTTGTTGAGCAGGCGCTCATTGGAGGTTGATTCCAGGCAAGTTTCAGGTTTTCTTTTACGCCCCTTTGCCTTTTCATTTAGTATATGTTAAGGTTGATAACTTCATGAATATTTTTGTTTTTGGTCTAAATTTCTAGTCACTCTGTTGTTGAATTTGTTTATAGTCAGGATCTTAGAGTGATGGGATTCCTTTCCCTGGTTTAATTTACATTTGAATATTTGCAAAATGATGTCGACAGAGACGCCTATGGATTTTCTTTGAGACCTCAACACATACAAACATATAGACAGTACGTTAATATCTACAAGGTAGAAATTTCGATCTAGGTTTAATTCTTGTATTCTAATTGTCCGTTGCTTGCATTTATCAATAAATATGTCTAATGTAATATGTATGGTCAGTTTTGGTTTACTGATATAGTAATTCATTATGCCAGGAAGAGGAAGAGGAAAGATCAGAGAAATGGAAGATCTTCCTCGAACAGCATTCAAAACCGATTGAACCATGCCTTTCTGAGGAGGATAAAAAAATATTGCAGGCTGAAGCTACTGAGCCGAAAAATAAGGCTCTTTCTGAGGAGGAAAATAAAAAGACATTGCATTTGGCAGCTACAGAGGCAAATGAAGAGGCTGCTATTGAGGCAGAAGAAGAGACTGCTTTTGAGAAGGAAAACAAGGTGACATTGCAGACTGAAGCTATCCAATTGAATGAAGAAGCTGCTTCTGAGGAGGAATATATGGAGACATTCCAAGGTGAAGCTATAGATGAAAGCAAAGAGAAATCACAAACTGAAGCGACTGAGTTAAAAGAAGAGGTTTGTTCAGAGAGGAGCAAGGAAGGAGATGCTCCAAGTGCAAAGCTTGATTCTGCTAATTCAACAGAAAATGAAACAGGAAAGGAGGTGCAGCTTGCAGAAGAAACAAAGATACATAAGGTTGAAAGATGGGCTAATACCAGACCAGCCCTTTGTGCCATTGAGAATATGATGAATTCAAGGGTTAAGAAGGGAAGGAATATGAAAAATATGAATATGAATGAAAGCGGAGACCATCTTCCATCAATAAAAGAGGCAAGATCTCCAGAAGGAGAATCTGAGGATGAAATTGAGGAAAAGGTCTGTGTTAATGAGAACTCAGCAAGGGAAAAAAGTAATGCAGACAATGGGGCCTTTCAAGAATCCTTTTTTCCTTGGAAAGAAGAGCTGGAGAGCCTTGTTCATGGAGGAGTACCGAAGGACCTCAGAGGGGAGGTGAGGTTGAAACTTCTCTGTCTGTTATTGTCTCAATATTTAGTGGTTGAAAAATGCATTGTTTGCTATAATATGGTCATTGCAGTATGGCAAGCCTTTGTAGGTGTTAAGGCACGACGAGTGGAGAGGTATTATGAGGATTTGCTGGCTCAAGAAAACTATGATGCTGATCAACATAGTGACTCATCTGTTGTGTTCAGAAAATGGAGAAAGCTGATTGACAAGGTCATTAGATGCATGAGCCTTGGACTTTATCATTCAGTCTTTTCAATTTGTAGGTGCTACACCTTCTGCTTTATATTGTTTTTACATTTCTACCTAGGCTAACTTGTCTGTTCATTTTTCAGGATTTACCACGGACTTTTCCAGGTCATCCAGCTTTGAACAATAATGGTAGGGATTCCTTGAGGCGTTTACTTTTAGCATATGCTCGACATAACCCCTCTGTTGGGTACTGTCAGGTAATTGATGAATTAAAAGTTCTTTTTCTCTGAATTAGTTAAACTTGTACTAATGTTTTAGTATTATTTTTAATGGATTTCTCTCTTTCAAACTTGCACCATATTATCCAACTTTCTTCTCCTTTATCAATGGAAACTGACTTCTACTTTTTATAATTGTCCATCTACATCACAGCTCTTTCTCTCTCACTCACTCAAGTTTTATTTGCAACCTTACGTTCTTTAGAATCTAAGAAAGTTTTCTTTAGAATTTATCTAGAAATTTATCCAATTTCTTATCATTTCCTTCAGTCCAGTCATGCTGTCGCTGTATAAGCACAGCACAAAGAGGCCATAATTCTGTTGATTGAAAAATTTTGGGAGCTCAAGAACAACTCTGATGTTCTAAAACTGTGACCGTGCTTATGTTACATTATACTTTTTTCACTTCACGAGTAGATCAAATTGCTCACCTATATTATCTAAGTATATGAGGTTTTTCCTTGCTAAATCTGTTTCACCATTAAAGTTGTGAGCATAAGGTGCAACTTGAAAGCCCGAACGCTGTGTGTGGCATTAATGGAAGTTTAGCATAGAAAACAATTCATCAGTTTTACCTTTGGGTTCCTAGGATTTGTGTTTGCTCTGAATGGATCTTAATGACCTCTCTTTGCAAGTGATTAATTTTTTAATAATTAGTTACCCCTTGTACTTATTCTTGTCATTAAACTTGATACCGAATGCATGCAGGCAATGAATTTCTTTGCTGGATTATTGCTACTTTTGATGCCAGAGGAAAATGCCTTTTGGTAGGTTCAGGTAGCTTTTCATAAATGGTTGATTTCTGAAAATAATTATTTCTATTTGTATTTTGTTCATTTTAATGATTTTTTGGGTTTGCAGAAACTTTTTTGGCCACCTTTTGTCTCAGACTCTCAGTAATTGTTGTGAGAAACAATTTGTTATTTTCTGCCAAAAAAAAAAATCCTCTTTTCTAAACATGGTTGTCTTATTCTATTGTGCTAATTATTGTACAGAGGCATATATCGACACATATATACTCATGATACAAGAATAGTTAAGTCGCTTTAAAGGCATGTTTCTTTCAAAATGTATTCTCAGGACCTTGGTGGGCATTATCGATGATTACTTTGATGGGTGCTATACAGAGGAAATGATAGAATCTCAGGTTTTTTATTTTCTACATTCTTTTTTTGATGATATTCCACGTTTCCTAGCAAATTTCTCTAGTTGCTTTTAAGTTTAGCGTCCATCTTCATATTCACCAACAAGCTGATATTGCAGTATTTCTAAAGGGATTTTGCCAATTTACAACTTGTGATTCTAACTATTTCTATTTTCATAGGTTGATCAACTTGTATTAGAAGAGTTGATGCGTGAAAGATTTCCCAAATTGGGTTTGTTTACTTTTCAACATTTTCTTTATTAATTATATTCTAATTCATTACATGAAGCAATATGAGTGATTTTTTATTTCATCTATGCTTCTGGTGCAGTCAATCATCTGGATTACTTGGGAGTGCAGGTGACATGGATTTCTGCACCTTGGTTTCTTTCCATTTTTGTTAATATGCTTCCTTGGGAAAGTGGTAAGATTTAAAGTTAGTGCCACAAGTGAAATTATTTTTTAATTATTTCACTCAAAATGCTTAGTTCCGAGCACTCTGCGTTCTCTTCGTTAGAAATCATGTTTACCTTGTGATGTATTTCTTGGTCCAGTTCTTCGCATTTGGGATGTGCTTCTATTTGAAGGAAATCGTGTTATGCTCTTTCGAACGGCCCTTGCTTTAATGGAGTTATATGGTATTGAGATTTTATATTTATAAAATGTATGAAGCATTAATGTGGATGATGAATTCGAAAAGCAGTCTAATTATGTGAAGTTTACTGTAGGTCCTGCCTTAGTTACAACTAAAGATACTGGGGATGCCATCACTTTGCTGCAATCCCTAGCTGGCTCAACATTTGACAGCAGCCAACTTGTTTTGACTGCCTGCATGGGTTTTTTTGCTGTGACTGATGTTAAACTACAAGAGTTGAGAGAAAAGCATAGACCAGTTGTGCTACTGGTCGTTGAGGAAAGAACAAAAAGAGGTCGAGTTTGGAAAGATTCAAAAGGACTTGCATCTAAGCTGTACAGTTTTAAGCACGATCATGGATCTCTGCTGGAAGAAACAAAACCTGCGGAAGATTTAGCTGATAGAGACACATCTAAGTTGGAACCCTGGTCCTCTAATCTAGATGAATTGCTCTGTAGCCTAAATGCAGGTTCAGAAGTTGATTCCTTACCAGATCTTCACGAGCAGGTACTTTATTCATCTTCTTAGCACTTCTACACTGCATTTCTAATATTTTAGGAAGCTGTTCACCAATAATACCTGTTTTATACTTCGTGGTCCACATCCCACAAACAGTATGTGCTTAATGTATTGATTTAGTAAGGTAGTTGATGTTTGCCTACTTTTCTTTCACCTTATCAACTTTAACCAAATGATGGTTTGAGGCTCATGTTCTGTGATGTTAATATAGAAAATTACATATCAAATTCAAAGAATCAGTATTGGCTTCAGCATAATCTTGCATAACCTGGGTAAAAAATATTAGTTTAGAACTTTGTTGGCATTTTGATGATCCAAAAACATCAATGCTGCTAGATATTACAAAAATAAAAGCATTAACTAAGGCCCTTCAACTACAATGCGTGAATTCTTGAATGTTGATATGATTTGACAAATAGCATGTGGCTTCATCATATGACTTAATAAAGGCTAAAAGTTTTCTTTTCTTATAACCAATCTCAAGTAATGCATTTCTAACCTGATAACCCTGACTGAGCTGTAATTATACTCACTGAACTTATTCTAGGTTTTCTATCAGTGTTTCACTTGTAATTAATTGGATGAATATGAATAATCAACATGTAACTCCTTTGAAATTTCAATTGTTAACAGTTTATGTGCAGGTTGATTGGATGAAGGTTAAGTTGTGTAGGTTGCTTGAGGAAAAAAGAGCTGCTGTACTCCTGTTAGTACATTCTACCATCTGTGGTTTCTGATTTTTTCTCAAACATTCTGTTTCTAATTGCCATGTGGCTCTGCTTTAGTGGATAATGGTTATATAGTAGTAACTGAGTCTCATTTTCAGACACGCAATTTATTGTCCACCCTACTCATATCATATGCGCAATTTTTGTTTAATGTGCATGGATTGCAACATTTGATAGCACAGCTTCCTCTTTCAGAGAAACATGGTATTTAGCCTTCTTGATGCTGTTGGGTTTTTTCATTTGCTACATTTCCATTTTAGCCCTCGGAGATATGAAACATTAAGAATCATGTATGCCAGTTATCATTTTAGGGAGTTGCTTGTTCAAGATAGCTATGAATGAAAATGCATCTCGTGTAACTATAGATAGGAATCTGCTAAAAGTTAGGAATGCATCACATATGACCATTTTCATGTTTTATTAGTGTGAATTATTTCTGATATTGTTGAAGTGCTTTTATAATCTATCATATTACCTGTAACTGCGATTCCTGTTCTTTTCCAGAGCTGAGGAGCTAGAGACAGCACTCGTGGAGTTGGTCAAAGAAGATAACCGACGTATATTGAGTGCAAAGGTATATGTAAATTGATTTGCATGAGGATGTTAGACCTTCCCAGCATATCATTTGGTCGAGGGCAATACTTCTCCTAATGCTCTGTAAGCTTTGGATTACTCAAGTTTCTTGCAGGAATTGAAGTTTGTTAATAATGCTGCAGATTGAACGGCTAGAGCAAGAGGTGGCTGACCTACACCAAGCTCTTGCTGATAAGAAAGAACAGGAAGCTGCGGTGCTTAAGGTATAATTTTGCCTATTCTCTAGTGCATTTTTCTGGAACTATGGCTTGATTCTTATTCTATTACGCGTCCTCTAGTGACTTTTAGGTTCTACATGCTACAGGTTTTGATTCGGCTAGAGCAAGAGCAAAGGATAACTGAAGATGCTCGCAGAAATGCAGAGGAAGATGCAGCTGCCCAGAGACATGCAGTTACTGTGCTCCAGGTTCTCTTCTGTTCTTGACGTCCTAGCTATCATGGATAATGTTAAACTATAGATTTCATATTGTTCTTCATGTAGGATTGAAAGAGAAGTTCAAAGATATTTGGGTATACACCATTTACTCATTCTGTTTTTCAGTTGAGTTTGATGCTAGATGACGTATTCTTGCTATGTGACTTCTATCAAGAAATTTAAGCTACTGATAGGCACTTTGTTCTGATAACAACTTCTTGGCTAGAGTGTATTTTTTTTCTCCTTTATTTTCTGACTATATTGATTTTCAATAAAAAAAATACATTTGCAGGAAAAATATGAGAAGGCTATGGCTTCTATTGCTCAGATGGAGAAGAGAGTGGTTATGGCAGAATCAATGCTGAAGGCTACCTTGCAATATGAATGTGGCCAAGCAAAAACGCCATCTTCTCCACTGTAAGAAATGTTTTCAGCATTGTTCTCTTCTAACATTCACTTATTTACATGAGAAAAATAGAAGTCTAAACATCATGACTCATGTCTCCATTTCTGTGTCCTTCATATTCAAAATGTTTTGATAAATTCTCCATCAGCTTGATGCTGATAAAGAGAACGATGGGCCATATAAAAAAGCAAAGAGCATAGTTACTCTGATCCAACTATTGAACACAACTTAAAATTTAATGTTGTTCTAACCCTTAAGATGCCTCTGAGTGAAATGTGGGAAGAGCAACTACAAATATGTATGAAAGCTTCATGTTACAACCATTTTCGTCATTTCTTGCAAGACAAGCATTCATACTAATATCCGTTCTCTAAGCAGTTATATGATTAGTAGACCAACAAAATCGTAGAAGAATAAGAAGTGGTGCAGAACCACACCTTCATGGCAGTATTAGGGTTTTAAGGTTTAATGCTTATAGCCATTAGTGAATCAGATCATTTCTCTCTTTCTGTAAGAAAACTCTGATTCAATGTGCGTGTCTGTCTGCATGTTTGATGGAACTGATTCAGCAATCAATCATCCAGCATCTAATTGAGAATAGCAAAATAAAGTATTTATAGTTATAAGTTACTCATAAACAGGCCATTCTGCAATTAATCATAAACATAATTAAACCCATTCTACATCAGAAGGTTAAATGTTTTTAAATCAGGAGAAGAAACAGAGGCTACACATCATTAAATTGCAGAAACTTGGTACAAGGTCTCTTTGGTATTATAGGATTCCAATCTAGGGAACCGGTTGAAAATGCTTATATCCACACTCTAAAATGAAAGGGAATGATCCATTTCATTTCTATTTTAAAACATTTTTATAGAACAACTAATTTTTTCTGTTATTTCCAAAATAGACTGTTGTCCACTTGTGTTCTCATGTAAGGAAGTCACCGAAGCGCATTCCTGACCAGAAAAGATTGTAAAGCGGTTGCAAATTATAATTGAAAACAGTCATCCTTTAAGTTCATACAATGCTATGGTGCAGCTAGAGATTTTGTTTATGCATGTTATGAGTTATGTTTGCTTAATGGATATTTTTCCACAAGTTTCCCGATGGATCCAGATAGTTGTGTCTTACAAAGATAGCATGCCCTTGTAGGACTCAGAATACCACACAGGACAGCCCCAGAAGAAAGGCAGGGCTATTTTCATTTGGACTTGGCTGGCGTGACAAGAACAAGGTAAATATGTACAATGCCATGTTTTGCCAGGTTTTACTTGCAACTAAGGCATTAACTTGTCAGTCTTTGATTTCCTTTTTTCCTTCACATCTGAGATGAAATATTTGTTCAACTGTTTTGGAGCATTAATTGAATATTGTGAAAATATCAATCTATCTCCTTAGAATAGAGTTAATGGCGGTATAATTGTTTCGACATTTTCTATTAGGTTTAGAGTTTCTCGGTTTAAATTTTAGCATATGCAATCCCTTTTTTTATTCTCAAGCTACGGCTTCCATTGTAAAAGTATGTCGCTTGCCTATTCTCAATGACTTTATTTGAAGCTTGTAAACTTGGATCCGCTATGGCAGGGCAAGCCTAATTTTGAGGGGTCCACGGACAGTAAATCCAAGCCAAGCACAACTCAGGAAGAAACTAACACCCAAGACCAAGAGAAGAACTCTAGTCAGGGATAGCCCTAGTGCCTTGTCATCCTTTTGCATTTGTGCCTCCATTGCCAAATAAGTCACTTCTCTGTATCTGTTCATTCTTTTTAATGGTCCTTTTTCCTTATCTGTATTATGCATATACTGGAAATTAATGGTAAGAGAGGGATCTATTTCTATAAATTATCAATTTGAAGTAAATTGATTTGAATATAATCAAATGCCATAATGATTTATGTGCCTAGGGATCTATTTGTAATGCAGGCAGTAAGCATTTAGCCTAAAACTCCTAGCTCTGTGGTTTCATTTGTAATAAAGGATGCCACAACTCAATGACATCATCAATTCCAGAGAACCCCTAATGAGCACGAAGGATCCAAGCAAGTATCAACTTAACCTTCTGATTTGATCCCTTTCAGACCCAATGCCACAGTTGGGCTTCTTATCTCTGTCTCTCTTTGCCCCTGGAGTGCCAGGGGGAACCCAGTGCTGGCTGTGTATCTGGTTCAAATTTATGAGAAGCAAGGTAAGTCAAAGCTGTGACTACATCAGCAATGAGAGGTCGCATATTTGGCTGCTGTTGAACACAACATTGCTGCCACTACAAGAGCTTGGAATAAGCCCCTTGGAGAATACTGACCTTGGAGCATTGGATCAGCCATTTGAGAGAAATTTTTTCGTTCTTTGAACAATGGCCTTGCCTGCAATAAAGTTCAAGATAGAAATGAAACTTTTTGCAATCTGACAGACATTACTATTTTTTAGCTTTTATCTATAATATTTGCTTATTCTTTTTGCAGTCCTCATCAATATAAACTTCTTACCCATGCTGCTAGATTCCGTTCCTCCGCATGTTTTGAATTGTCAATTGCTTTCCTGCCGGTTATGATTTCTAGAAGAACAAACCCAAGCTATAAACGTCTGATTGTAGAGCTAATTTACCTGTCATTGCGTACTCCGGGGCACACCGTCTCATAACTCCTGTAACAGGCCCAAGCTTGGCCAAGCCAAAGTCAGATAGCTTCAGAAAATATCCTTCACCAAGTAAAATATTGGAGCATTTCCAATCTTGGTGGATAACAGGGGAACTGGCTTTGTCATGTAAAATCCCCAAACCCTTTGCAGCCCCAACAGTTATTTTCAACCCCTTTGTAGCCCCAACAGTTATTTTCATTATTGATTTCCTGTCCAGTCCAGTCTTTTCCTACCAGGTGACATGTCTGCAAATAAGAAGCATAATAAGCATCCTCCTGGTGGAGCACTAAATAACAAGATATGAGGAGTTAATGCTATACATACCGTGTAAATGATCTTCCAGAGATCCTAAGGGCATATATTCATAAACCAGAAGCCTTTGATCTCCATCAGCACCGTAAACTGTGAGATTTACAAGCTTAGGATGGTGAAGTAGGCTCGGCATTGAAACTTCAACAAGAAACTCCCTCTTCCCTGCAACCCATTATGGTCAAGTTGCTTTATAGCAACAACCTGTACCGATCTTAAAAACAAGATTCAGTTACCAGTTTGCTACCTTCACGTGAAAGCAAGCCTGCATTTAACTTGTTTTTTCATTTTACAATTAATAAAACATGATAAAATTAAGATGATGGAATTGTTGGCAAAAGCCAAATAATTGTGTGTATTTGATGGCAGAGGAGAAAAACCAAGCCACATTTCTGAATCCTCTTAAGAAAACAGGAAATGCAAAATGCAAACATCAAGAACGCACTGAGCAGGATTTTGCCATGACATGCGCTTTTAGACTAATCCATCCTCCAACCACAACTTCACCTCACCAAATCTATCATATATACACATTGCTTTTACATTTCAAGTCATATGCAACATATATGAACAGTATCCAAAATGCAACTTGAGCAAGGATTTTGCTACTTTGATCCATCACTTCATTTAAAAAATTGATCAAGCTATCAAGACCTCTAATTTTTTTTCTTGCTCCCTTCTAGTTAAGTATCCAATGTATTGATCCAAATTCCATCTATCATCCAAAAGAAACCAAATTACCAACCATCTGATCAACTTACATAAGACCCAGAGGAAAGAAGAAGTACTAATTTTCAAAAACCAGCAAAACACATCAAAAACATATTACTTAGTCAGCATAACAGCTAGCATAAAAGACCTTCTCTTTCTCTCACAGCATGATTAACATAAAATGGAAAAAAAAATGGTAAAACTTTTACTGAATTTTACATAATGAAATAGCTTTACCAGAAGTAGCTTTGATTTGATCAAGTGGCATCTGTTTCATCTTTTTGTTCTTCTTAGACTTATTAGCTTTGGTATTTGATTTCCTAGAACAAGGAAGCCATCCCATGATTCTTCTTCTTCTCTGCTTTCTCTCTTTTTCACTTCAAAAATAAACTTTAATGCTATAAAAAATCAACCAAAACATCAAAACGACATCAACCCATTTCTTGAATACCCTTAACAACACTCAAAAACGCAGAAACATTGATGAAGATTTCACAAGTTTTATTACAAAGACGAAAGGAGCCAAACGTTTTTGTTTTCCAGTAACGTTTACTTTTTTTATTCATAAGTTATGTGTAATTTTTAGACAAAGATTATAAAATTTTTAACTAGGAATTATTTAACACAAATTTTAATATAATATTTAAATTAATAAATTAATAGATTAATAGATTTCAATAAAAAAATTAGTAATATGTGTAAAATATAAAAATATATAATTTATACTATAATTTAATTGATATTTTTTAAAGATAAAAAAATATATCAAAATTTTTATTAAAAATAATTATCTAAAAAATATATTGAAATTTATCGAAATTTAATTTAAAATTTATACATTTATTCATGTAATAAGATTTTTTTAATCTATTAATTTTGATTTTTTTTTATTTTATTTTTATATAATCATTTTTAATAAAAAATTTAATCAAGAATTTCATCTAAGGTTTTTTATTAGTTATTTTTTTAGAATTGCGTGATTGGCTTAAACAATTTTTTTTTTGGACCACTTATGAACGACACAGCGTCGTTTTAGATGCTAGGAAATGGAGTAAAAAAAATTGTCCTCTAACGTGGGTTCCATTAACGGGATTCAACACTATCTTCGTCAATAGAAAAAGTAAGATTTTCTAACCGTCTGATCTGATTAAACAATAAAATCGATGGACATGATTCAAAAAGAAGCATAAATGGCAAATAGCCACTGCACCTCAACGTGAAACCTATGAATTTCTTTGTCCTTTCTTTCAAACCAAAGTGTTGGGTTGTTGTAAGTCATGGAATTTGAGTCTCATCTCTAGTGGTTGCTTATGATCTCAAGCTTGCTCATTACTTTTTTTTTTTCTTGTTATGTCCTTGTAAAAAGTTGGGCTTTGTTCTTGTTTGTATCAATGGTTCATATACGATACATGTAAGAAAAAATCGTGTATATATAAGCCTTTTCACGTATAGTTACCCTAAAACGGCTGTGGGTTGTTCTGCATTAACATAGGGTATGTTGGCAATAATTGCACGATCAGTACATACTTGTAAGGACGAGTAAGAATGAAAAAACCCAACAAGGACCTTACTTTTGCATTGTATGAAAATATAGAAATGAATACGATATAATATATATATATATGAGCTGACATGTGATCACAAAAAGATGAACATATTCGCAATGGCTCGTCTCAATCACGATATCTATCTCTTTTTCTTCTGAAATCAAGATTTCAAGTTAAAAAATCATTTTTATACAGTATATCGTTATGGTTAGAAGGAGAGGAATGATGTGCACATCCACATGATACAGCTGCAAGAGTTTTTTTTTTCTCAGAATCATCCTTTCAAATGTAGAAGCAAGCATTGATTATACATAAGAGAGATACTATCACGATTTAGTTCCAATGTTAAACATCTTAACAAGTTACATTCAGTTCATGCATGCTCATGACATGAGCATGCAATTAGATATACATCCACGCATTTTTATATTTTACCGATCAATAGTTATGGAATTTTAAACTTTGGAATTTGTCTTCCATGGAGAAGCTTTAAAAAAGGAGCACTTTTTAATTAAATTTAGGCATGGAAATTGGAAACTACTACTCGTTTGAATACCTTGATGATGAAAATGACAAGTGTATACATCACAATTACATGTAAGAAAGCATTTGAATCATCTCAATGCAGATTTGTATCAAAATTGTGCAGATAGCATCAATATATAATCTACATTGATGATGCTATCTCTGATGGTAGGATTTTGATGCCATCTAAGATAGCATCACATATAATCTACATAAATTCTTGGTATAATTACCAGAAGTTAGGATTGATCACTTAAGTTGTTGCAAGATATCTTAAAACCGAAATAAGATAATGCTGATATATCACATATTAGATGTGCAAAGTTTTTACTTATTTGATAATAGGGAAAACAATTAATTAAAAAAAATAAAAGAAAATAATGTAATAAGCTGAAGGCAGGCAGCATTAAAAAAACTGCCCTCATTGAGCAGCCTTAGTTGCAGAAAGTCATATATATTGTAAGCTTCAGTCACTTTCAGGGCTTTGGTTCTGGTGCCTTTTCAGTCCTAAAGAGCCTTTATCAGAACAAATATCGAGTCAGAAACTATACCTTCTTCAGTTGCTATCATCTCTTGTCTTTAGTAGCAGGTGAGTTGGAATCTGGATCAGAGGCCACAGGATTTGTGTTCCTAAGTGGCATCTCATGGTTATGTTTACCTTCGTATGTTGTAACGAAAGCCCTCGGATCATCTGATGCTCTTTCCACATGCTTGCGGACATTGCATTTTTGACTAGTGCATCTGTAGTAACTTCTGCATGGCAGATTATGGCAAGCAGTAAGAAAACAAGGGTAAGAAATACATGATTAGCAATAGATGCATATATGGTACCCATTTGAAGCAAGTACTATAGATGTTGCATTTATAATATTAGAAGCAGGTCATAGTAGCAGGTTCCAACTTTAACGGAGGTCAGTGCATCTCCGAAATTGAAAGAGCTAATAATAGTTTTCAAAAATCTCCAGGTTCTTTTCAATATGGGCCATAAGGTTGAGATTGCATTGTTCAAACTGCATGCAAAAAAATAACATATTCCAAGCATCCAGCAGAGTAGGAAGGGCCAAAGTTTTCTTCATAGGGATTTGAGAATGCCTCGTTAAACCTAAAGAAGGTACTATATATCAGCTATGATGTGTATTTAAACAAGTTGAATTTCAACCTGGGATTTGGATTTCCCTTCACCACCTTCTGCCCGTATTTTCTCCAGCGAAAGCCATCTCCCATGATCTCAGAATCGTTAGAACTTTGCACTACAACACGAGGTTCTTGGATGCCTTCTCCTGAGGTGCCCACTTCACTGGATTGATTCTCACTTTTCCTGAAGGAAACAGATCATAATTAAAACATAAATTAGGAGTTCAATTTCAACTCACTAGGGTGGTGAAACCAATCTCGTCAAACAGTTTTGCTTGGCAAATCTTGAAAGACCTAAAATCCATATCATCTCAATTACTTACCTTCTTTTACTTCTAGGTTGATCATCTTCTCCCACCTTGCTTCCTTCCTCGCATTCCCCACTAAGACCAATGGAATTTTCAGAAGTTCCACCGGCATTAAGAGCTCCAGTGGTAACATGTTCATAGTGTAGCAGAGCTTTGCCTTGATAAGATAGGGGAGCATACGACCTGATTTCATTCTGATTTTCAACTCTTTCTTCGGAACCTTCATTCTTTTCATTAGGATTTTTACTCAGCAATGAGTTGTTGGTATCTTGACCAGTCCCGTCGGAAGTAAATCCAAACCCTTGGTTCCCTGATGAATTTCGTTTGGGAGGCTGAGGCTTTGAATGATTGTGTTCACCCTTGTAGACAATTTCAGCTATTTGACCATCAAATGATCTTTCCACTTTCTTTTTTACAGGACAATTTGGGTGTGTACACTTATAGTAGCTTCGCGGATATTCACTTCCTTTCACTTGCTTTTGTCCATATTTCCTCCAATTATAACCATCATAAGAAGGTCTATCAGCATTTGCTGCAGCTGGTAACATTTTTGGATCCTCTTCTATGTTCTGAGATGCTGCCTTCGAGGGTTCACTTATCTGATCTGTTTCTCCATGTGATGGAGTATTCTGATGAAGATTTGGACTAACTTGGGTTCTGAAATTCTTTTTCTCTTGGTTTGCATGTTGAGCTGGTGCCTCTGTTGGTTGCAGTGTTGGTTGATTGCTAGCACTGAAATTTCCCTGCCAAAATTGAAACTCTAATATCAGTAGAAGGACATGGGTAATGCAAATTTAGCTCATGTCATCTCCACGAGCATGGCACCAATGATAAGCATATGAGGGGACAAAACATGATTCCTTTTTGGCCTTTCATATTGCCTACCCCAGAGTTATGGGATATAAGGCTTAGTTTGTTGTTTTTGTGATCTATAAATAACGCACAGAATTCTGCTACTGACCATGTTTGCCAAGAGAGAAGCAGTCGTCTTTGATACAAGCTTTGCCAGTGGTTTGTAAACTACAGTAGGCTTGACATCTGATTTTAAAGCCTTATCGGATAAATTAGAAACACCTATCCCAGAGAGCTCTGCCTGAAATTATCAGATGACAAAAAGATGAGAGGTAGAAAGATATTGAAATGAGAAAGATATCCAGGTGAACTTAAGAGGAAACCTGGGAAGAAATCACAGCAGATGGAGCACGATTCACCATTGGCTTGAACCTAACCGTCTTTGGTCTAATTGCAGAAACTACATTTTCAGAACAGGTATTAGGGGGTGATGCATTATCGGCCCCCGCAAGGAGCTCTGAGAAAGACTTGAATCTGGAACAAGTAGGCCTTGAAGCTACTGGTTTAGCTATGACTATCCTCTCTTCTTCTTTAACCTCCATTTTAATAAATTATTGAAACGCCAATTATATTTTACTGGAGCATAAAGGAAGTCTCGGAAACCAATTATACCAACCCCTTGATACTCAATTAAGCTGGACAGTAGTAGAAAATGCTACCGTTATTGAGAGCGAAAACTTGCTGAAGGAGTATGTGCAGAAGATCTTTTAGAAGTCACTCTCTTCCAGTGTCAGCTTCACTTATGCACAGCTCAAAATCAACATATTCAAACCTGCATGCACCGGGACAATATAAGTAACATCTCCAAAAAGAAGATTAAATTGACAAGAAATGTTAGAAAAGACAGTTACATGTGTACATGTGTGTTTGCAAAATGAGATAGATACATATCCTAAGTAAAATGACTCGGAGTAAGCTACAGCCTACAGCATATAGGATCGTCTCTAAAATTAGGCCTTGTTTCATTATATTTTACCTCCCAAATATTTGTATGACAAGAAAAACGGCTTTATAATAATAAAAAAAAGCCATAACTATGAGACAGGAAGGCATAAAGACATAGGGAAAGTAATGAAGAAGCTCCAAACAACTAGAACCTCCTTCTCAGCCACTCTAGTAAAATGCTAAGGTACAAATAATGGCAATTTGGTATCTTTAAGTCATGTCACACAATATCTCCATTTCACTGCCAATGCATTTTGCTCCGCTCTCAGTCTCAGGTTATGGCTGCAATACACTTTTTATAGGAGGAAAGATAAGCATTAAGCAGTCCTGAAATCTTCCCTGCAATAACAGACGTTGAGCTCTTTCAGCTTCGGATGCAACAGAATTGTTCTCTAAAAGTCTCAACAAAATACCAAACTTCAAAACATGAACCAACTGGGTGATTTTTGAACCATTTGCAGGATCCACTTTTCATGAACCAATGCAGCTATTTGCTTAATTTTCAGTATGCCATTAACCTTTAACTTGTCCTAAACGAGGGTATTTGCTGTAAGACAAACGATCAGCTGTCGCAGAATACCTCGGCAGTAAGACTATGACACCAGCAGAAGTTCATACTAGACTGGTAAAAGGGATTTTCATTTTAAACGTGTACCAAATGAATAAATTGGATAAGACAGAACATATCTTGCTGTCTGGAAAGTCTTTAAAGCTCCACTTATACTTGAATGTAGCTGAACAATTGAACCAACTTTTGCTGACAGATCAGAACACTTCTCTCTTCAACCTTCAGAGTATCTACAGCATTTTGAAGCCTTGTTTTCACTCAGAGATGAAATATGCTGTAGCTTCCCAATTTTGTCCATTTTATAAAACAATTACTAGTTACTTCCAAGATCTCCTCCCCAGCAGCATGTACAATCGTGGTCAAACATTTCCTGTGCTGCTGGAACACAAAAACACAATCACAATCGCTTCACCCTTCATATTATTTAGAAGATAACTCATTTGCTATTTGATGGTCTTCTTCAGTTGTCATGAAAATCCTTAATTTCGGATTTCCAGAACCCCACAAAATTACTGAACATAAGTCAAGATAAAGCTTATCTTAAATCATGACCGTAGATCAAGATAAAGCTTCTTTTCAACCTACAGTAACTACAATAAAACACCTCCATCTTTATATCAAGGAGACTCCAGTCTTTAATTCATCAAATCAACAAACTTGTGAACATGAATATTTTTCTAGAACAAGTAAACTACCCCATATAGCATTATGAAGATGCAAAAAAGAAAAACAAAAGCAATATTTAGGATTGTGCAAAAAAAAAAAAAAAACCACAGCTAGCATTTGAAGACAATAATTTGTCATAGTAATCAGGGAAAAAAGTCCACCTTTGCAAAGAAAATCCAAACCGCAAAAAAAATAAATAAATAAATAAAAGAGAGGAAATTTGAAAGTTCTACTGGTAACCTTGAAGCAAAAGGTAAAAAAAAAAAAAAAACCACAAAAAAAAAAAACAAAAAAAAAAAGGAAATGAGAACTGACCAGAATGGCAGATAAATAACAAACGAACAACTTGTTTTTGCTTCCATGAAATCTCATTTCATTCACTCTTTTAAGCTCAGTCTGCATGACAGACCAAGGAATCTAATAAGAAAAACAAAACAAAATAATTTTATTACTCAGAAACTTCTTTGCAGAAAAAGAAATGTACATATATAAAAGGAAACGTGACTAAAACCCTGAAACACAAAGAACTTGACCTCGAAGAACGAGAAAATCTTAACCGGTTAACAAAGGATTCACCAGGATAATACACACGAAATAATAGTTTTTGCCAGTTGTTGAACTTATTAAAGGAAAAACAGCCTTGGAAACAAGAAAAAAGGGTTTAAACTGAACTGGTTTTGTTTGAGAAACACATTCATTTTAAGACAAGGGAAAAAGATAAGATTTTCAAAGTCTGTTTAGTGTCTGAAACTGGGAATGTGAGGCAGTTCATAGTTTTTGACAAAGAAAAAATAGGGAAAAAGAAAATAATTTTAAGGTTAAAAGAAAAAAAAGTGAAAATCCCTGTTTTTCATTTTGATTTATTAAGGTTATTTAAATATTATATTTGATGCCTGAATAAATTTATATATTAATAGTGAATTAAATGAAACTATTTTATTAATTAAGAAATATTAATTTTTAAAAAATATATAAATTAATCTTTTTTAAAAAAATTATTTACTAACTAAATAACATTATGTTTTTTATCTTATTAATAAAATATTATTATTTTACCTATTAACTACATATAAAATTTATATATTAATATTACATTAAATATAAATCTTATCAATATTATAAAAAAACTGTTTTTTTATTTAGAATGGTTTTTCTATTGGATTTTTATCAGAAAATGTGATTGTGGATTACACGGGGGATAGAGCGAGTGATGGTACGGCCAACTAACTGTCTCTATTTCTCTTGTTTGACTATCTGCTAAATTAAAATGGAAACTCTGGCCCACCTTCACCGCCACAGCGCGTGCAACACAACAACACTCTTGCGGTTGCGGATTGCGGATTGCGGATTGCCCCTGCCTTTGTCCTAAAAGACTGTTTGCCCACTGTTCTTTTACAAGAAGAAAGAATTTATAAGAGCAAAAAAGTCTTTCCACATGAATTTAAAGAAAAAAATTTTGCAAAATAACGATTTGCATAGAACATAATTGTAATAACTCCAACATTTCTTATATTTCAAAAATCATCAAATATTATATATTAGTGTTTTAGTGATCATAGTTTAAATATTGATAATTTTAATTATTGAAAATTTTAGATCTCTTTTGTCTTAAGGTTAATTTTGTTGAAAAAAAATAAATTTTTTTATCAATCAAGGTCGATTTTTATGAAAAATATTTCGAAAATATAATCTTAAGTGTGTCATATTAATATAAGAGAATGTATCTTTAAAATCATATATACGAGAGATTATCATAAAAATCATCTAATGAAAAAAATTCGATCCAAATAAAATATAGGAATACCTTGACCACATTACAAAACATTCTTTCAATATACATTAAGGAAAAAATTATAAATAATTGAGTAGGGGGCAACATACATAAGCATAATTTGCACTTATTTTTTTAATAAGTTATTGTTAATTAACTTTTTTAATGGTTGATATATTATTAAAATTAGTATTTAAAAATTATATATTCGAAAGAGTTTATGTATTAAAAAATAAAAATTGGCCAAAATAAAATACTTATGTCTAGATATAAGAGAATACAAAATTTATCCGATATTGTGATTAGAAAAGGTTTTAGCATATCAATTTGTCATTTTTATTATGATAAAAAAGAGCGAGTGTCTAATGATAATGACATATCCCAAACAAATACATTGAACATTATGAAAAATTTTCCAATATTTTCTATACTTACATATTCATATTTATGGAATATGTATCGAATATGAATATTTTTTAAAAAATAAAAAGTCAAAATATATAATTTAATATAATAAATATTATAATATTCACAAAAGAAGGTGCTTCTAAGTTGAGAATTTAGAAAAAAGAAAAACAAATTCCTAATTAAACAGTTAAAAGATGTCTAAAATCAACTTTGGTGAAGCAGAAAAAAGAAAAAAAAAATCTAGAATGTAACCAGATTTCAAGAGAGTGAATTCATATGAGCATTCTAGAGTTGAAGACAAAGACAAAGACAAAGACTTTTTCATTGTTTGATGATAATAATCAAAGACTATGGTAAAGCCACCCTCATCAATGAACTCTTGAAACAATAAACTTTATCTTTTCGTTTTTTTATTTTTATCATAGTTTATCGATTCAAGGAAGGCTTTTGGAGACTAAAATTTATTTTTTTAATGCAGTATTTGATTTTTAATAGAAAAAATTTGACATATAAAGGTTTTGTATTTTTTTTATTAAATGACTCGAAATATACATTAGGGTTAACCTGACTATTGTATTATTTTCTAATATTTTTAAATTAAAAACAAGTTAAGTACAAATTTAAGATTTAATTTAATTAATTTATGTAATTATCTTAAAAAATTAACATGTAATATTTTTGAAATTTAAATTTTAGTAGTTATAATTTTTTTATATTAAAAAAATTATGTGAAAGAATGACAAGATATGACTAAACATGAGCTGTAAAGAATAGTGACGAATATTTATTGTATTTAGAAAAAGATGAGTTTTAAATAGATATTATAATTTAAAATACGATAAAGTGATAGGATATGAATACAATATGAATATAAGATATAAATATAATATAATTTAAAATATTAACAATAATTATATTTAAATTTAATAAAATAAAAATATATATTTTATATTTTCGTATCGATAAAAATTATAATATATAATTTTTATATAAAACACAAAATGAATACATAAATTTTCATATTTTATATGATACAAATACATAAATCATCAGATCCAATTTTAAATTTGATTTATAACTCTAAAATAAAAAAAATACAAATAAATATTTTAGTAATTATTTTAATTATTTTTTAATAATAATAAATCGAATTTACTTACTCAAACTATATTGAAATGCATGTGATGGAGATTAATAAAAATCAAAATTGGTAATTATTGATTAGTTTTTTATTTTTTATTTTTTATTTACATGGTTTAGAGTATTAGTTGAGAACTTTGACTTTTTTGAATGTTAGTTGGGGGGAAGCTGAAGAGACGCATGGAGGGTAGGGGTGTTGTCCAACTTTCAAACCGAAATTCTTCGTCGTGACTGGTAGTTGTGTTTTGTCTCGCACGTGCCAAAATTTGTCCGTTTGCAAAATTTTCCATTTATTAATTATTTTATTTTTTAATAAGATTTTAAGGGGCAAAATTATTAAGAAAGGACTTTGGTTGAATTCAGAAGCGAATCTAGAGGGGCCTGTCAGGAGTAGGGATGTTAATTATATCTATATGTAACGAAGAATTTGATTTTTTATTTGAATAGGAATGAAAATAAATATTATATTATGAGTGAAAATAAAAATTAATTTGATTTTAAATTTTTATTGAATATAAATTATAGGAATGAATAATATAATATTTATCTCGTATATGTATTTTATATTTTTTTATATATTTAATGTATAAATTATTTTTTAGATTAATTAAAATTAATATATTTTTATTAAAAAAATATATATTTATAAAAAGTTACTTAAATGTACAAGGTAAAATAAAAAAAATGCTAAAAAAAATTTAGTTTTTAGTTTTTGTTTTAAAAGTTATAAGTATGGAGATTACTCATGTTCATTAAATATTTAAAATAAATATTATATTATGAGTGAAAATGAAAATTAAATTGATTTTAAATTTTTATTGAATATGAATTATAAGAATGAATAATGTAATATTCATATCGTATATGTACTTTTATATATTTATATTTAATATATAAAATTTTTATTAAATAATATAAATTATTTTTTAGATTAATTAAAATTAATATATTTTTATTGAAAAAAATATATTTATAAAAAGTTACTTAAATGTACAAGGTAAAATAAAAAAAAAGATAAAAAAAATTTAATTTTTAATTTTTGTTTTAAAAATTATGAGTATAGAGATTACTTGTGTTCATTAAATATTTATAAGGATAGAGACAAAAAATATTTTATCTTATCCATACTTTATCTATTAACATCCATAATTCAAAGCTCTATATCCCTTGTTCCTTAAAATCACTTTAGGATAAGTATATTTTCATACAAAAAATGATAAAATCATATTTTATCATCCCAAAAATTAATAATTTGGTCAGTCTTTTAAGGAACAATTGTAATAATATGATAAATTTCATAAATTGTTAAAAATTTTACTTGTAAATGCAATAAATAATTTTATTTTTTTCCTTTTAATAAAAATTTTATCCTTTTTAAATGTAATCATTATTATTTCATTGAATTTTTAAGTTCTTTAAAATAAAATTTTCTTTTCAATTAATTAAAGATGCATGTTAACATTAATTATTATGTCAAAATATTTTTTTTACACAGACAAAAAATATAAAAAAATTCAACTACCTATATATTATGCACATAAAATTACAAAATTAATTGTAAATTATAAATTTTTTCTATTTTTATGGAACCTTTCATTTCTAAAACTGAACCTTTTAATGTATTGCTTTTATTATTTATTTTTCAAAAAATTATTAGTTAACTTTTAATTGTTCTTTAAATATCTAAGAATTTCTTTTAATCGTAAAAAGAAATTTGTATTTTTTATTTAATTACATTATTATTTTATTTAAAATTAATTTTTTTAATTAAATTTTTATCATTTCACCTTACTTATATGTCGGCTCCTCTAAAATAAAAACCTTTGACATCACCCTTGGTTGAATTAAATCGTTTTTTCTCATTAATGAAAAAAAAATCAATGGAAGGTGTTGATACAACCTCATACTATAGTTAGGCAGCTTAATTTGATATAAATTTTAATTAAAAAAAAAGTCAAATATCCGAATTTGAGCTAACTTAAAACTTAAGGCTAAACCTATTTAAGTCAATAGCATGAATTTGATAGCTACATTAAACTTAAAAAGTTGAGCTTTTTTTATTATTTATTATTATTATTATTATTTTCTCTAAACATCGTCAATATATTTTTCTTTAAATTCAGAAGAGATAAGGCATATATTATCATTTATACTATGGTTTTTCATCTATTAAAAATGGATTGTTCATTAAGAAGAGTTGTAAATATTGCACACAAACAATTTACATGCACCATCTAGGCATATTATTAATTAAACAATTTTATTTTTAGACTTTTATCTTTTTGATATAAGGTTATATTTTTTTTATAAAAGAAATCGTAATTTAAAGATAAAAAAAAGTTTACAAGTAAACCTAATAATTTCAAACATGATATGGTGATACGATACAAAAACGATATGAATAAAGGATACGAAAATAACATAACTTAAAATTAAAAAAAAATTATAAATAAGTTTAATAAAATCAAAAAATTATATTTTTAATTTTTATGTCAATACGAATTATAACACGTTATTTTTGTATAAAATATAATATAAATATAATATTTTATATGTCACGATGATATGAATTATTAAGTTTAAATATATATTAAAATTTAAAATTTAAAATTATTGAATATCACATTTTAAAAATAATTGTATAAATTAAATATATAATAAAGTTAAGTTTTATTTTCTGTTTTATTAGAATTTAACAATAATTTAAAACATTTTATTTTTATGACTATAGGGTGTAATTAGGGTTTGTGGTGTTGGTTGAGACTAAAAAAGGGCGGTGATATTAGGCCAATCGAAATTGAAAGGCAAACAATTGAAAACTAGGACCAAAGTTACAAGATAAAAAGAATATTCTTGTTCTTAGGAGGAAGGAGATAACAGGAACAAGACAGACAACCTTTCTCCAATGCCACCTCAGAAAAACGAAAAAGTCACCTGAAAAAGGTATGCTACCAGTGAAAGCCAGCTACCAGCTTTCTTTTCTTTGTTAATTAAGGATAGATGTGGAAGAGGGTGAGACTAGTTTTGATGAAATCGAAATATGTAAAAATCAAATTAGTTATTATAATAATAAAATTAAAATTAATGATATAATATGTGTTTGAATATAAAAAAATAATAAAATAAAATTAATTGTAATGAAAAAAATCATTAAAGTTATTAAATTAAAAAAAATATATAAAAAATTATAATTATTTAATATTTATAAAATTAATAGATAATTAAAAATTATTATATTTTTTTATTAAATCATAATTATGTTAATAAATAACTAAAATTTATTTATTACTTTATTATAAAAATAATAAAATATGTTTAATATTTCATAATTTAAAAAAAATTAAAAAAAAAAATTTAAGTTGTAGAGATATTTTTATCTCTATAACTTAATTTGAAGGGTAAAAAAGAAAAAATCAGTTACTCAATGACCCAAATAGTCCAATGGACTATCACTAGAAATCAAACCGCACTGATATTTCGTTTGAATTTCACTTGTCTAGTTGACATAAATTTTCATGCTAATCACACATCCATTGAAAGGACGTTAGCATCCAAATGCATCCAAAGTATCCAATTCCAACCTCAAAAATTGAACATCTTTCTAAAGTTATTTTAAATAGACTCTAAAATATGATATATAATTTAATATGAAAATAATACAAAAAAATAAAAATAACATGTATTAAAATTTTAGTAAAAATCATATATAAATTTAACATAAACTAAAAAATATTTTATGATTTTCATATCAATATGAATTATAACATAATTTTTATGTAAACACAATATAAATATACAAATTACTAATATTTTATTTTATATAAATACATAAATTATGATACCTAATGCTCTTTCTGACCATCAAAGGAAGCAATCGTGAATAAGAAGGTTGATATTTCAAAAAAACTGGGCCACTTTCTTTTTGGGCTTTTCCAATGCTCACTTCTCTGTCCAAACTCTTCAGCAAATTGACATGTCAATGTCTTCAAATACCCAATCAAACGATAGTCAAGTAGTTTAATTCCAACGATACCTTCAGAACTAAATCTCGATTAAGAAACTTCAGAAACTAACCAATGGAACATGATTAAAAAGTTCTCAAAGCAACCTATTGTGTTTTAAATTTTAATGATGTTCATCAATCCAGCACACGAAACGATATGAGGTCTTATTATAGAAGTCTTCTACCTCCTTCAGTTCCCCCAAGGCCCAAGTTTAAGTCCATAACAACAAATTATAAAGGAAAAAAAAGAGAGGTGTGTACAGGAATAAAATACAGTTCATCAAAACATTCTCCAATAGTCTACATCAAGGTCTTCTCAGAATGATTGTACCAAATCTTGTATCAGCCACCTCTTTGCTATTTGTCACATGAATTGCCTTCGGATGCTGGGTCGTTCAATGTTTGTCGTGCGAATTGCCCTCGGATGCGAGGTCGTTGTTCTGCTAATTGTTTCCTGCTTTGGTATCGAACCTGGAAAAAGCCAAAATATTAAAAAGTTACTCTGAATCTTTGAAATTTAAGAGATCCATGTGTTTTTTTTTAATGTTGCATTCTACTACTGGTCTTCCAGAAATTGATGTGCATACATTTTTCAATACAAGGGGAGTAACCAGATCGCATCGGGGTAGGAAGATATCTGGGTAAGATTGAAGCAAAATAGTTTTTTCCAGTCAAAATGGAAAAAATTTTGAATGTAATATGAGCGTGTCAGCAATAAATGGCATAACATGTGTTAAAGGAAGATTGTTACTACCTTGCATATTATTAAACAGCTCAAAGTTAGTTACCTTTTTCCGGAAGCATCTCTCTTTTCTCTTCTGACGAAATTTGGTCAATGCAGCTTCCCTATGAGCAGACTTGCTCTGGTCTGCCTTGCTCCCACTCCCACTTGCATCACCACTTCCACTTTTCCCAGCTATTCCATTATCACTTTCTATGTTTGTTGCTACAGTATTGATAGCAGTGCTACTCCCGTTTGGCCCATTGCTTCCATGGTTACTACCTGAGGCACTTCCATTGACACTGTAGTTGCCAGCATTTCCAACAACAGGCCCACCTAACACATTGGACGACCCACAATGAGGGGCATCTGCAGCCATTTTTTCCAAAGACAAATCATGTTCAGGGGGCTGCTGCTGTTGTTGCATACTGTGAGCAAGCTGGTGATGTTGATCATAATGGTGTGGGGAGTGTTGCATTTGGTGTTCTAGGTGAGTCCCTCTAGGTTGAGCCAGTCTTGCTGTAGTATTTACATCATCAGCCTTGTCTAATATATCTTTCTTAGTAGCACTTAAAAGGTCATTTTTCATAGGCTGGGAAGTAGAGGATGGATGTGAAGACCTGAATGTGGATGATGCAGCTGACTTATTCTTCAAAACTGCTGGCTTGGCAAAAGCATTATTAGTCGTGGATCCCATATCAATGTTATTGCTACCAACATTTGAGCATTGATTGGGGTGGTCATTAACCAAATGAGATTGAACATCACAAATTGATCCTTTTCTTGTCAGTTCTAAATTATTATCAATTGTAGATGAGCTTCCAATGTTGACAATGGGAACCTTATATGCATTTGATGCCGTATTATACCTGCAGGCAATAGACATAATGGTCAAAACTATTCAGAATTCAACAAATCTTTAAAGAATGCTTTTCTGGGATTCAATAGTTGATGTTCCTATGCAATAACCTTCCGTTATACCTTGAGAAAGCTGAAGAGTCTGAACGTCTCAAAACATTTCGCTCATCCCTAAACACAGTACCAGAATCTTTAACTCCTCTAAGTCTCTTCAACCCAAGTTCAATAGATGGTAGTAGTTCTTTACAATCATTGATGGTTTTATCATTGCTGTCTGAGATCTTGGAAATCTTGTTTGAAGCCTCATACTCTGCACTTTCCTTCTTAAGATCAGTACTCTTAGAGGCGATGCCAGTTTGATTAGCAGCTTCAGACGTTAGTTTTCTGGATGGGCTTTCACTATTGAGGTCCAGCTGCCTTTTATCAATCTGTTCATCGAATTTACTGGAGCTCATCTCAAGCAGGTTATTTTGTTTTGCTCCTACTGTCTTGATTGGGACCTCAACCGAGCACTCTAGTTGTAAATCTACATTTCTAGGCATGCCTACATCCAGGTCTTTACCCATCGCAACATTGCCTGCAAAATAAAGGATTAAAAAAAAAAGAAGCAAAGATGAAACAGGCAGTTTACCATTAAAGGAAAGAAAAGTAAACAGGAATTAAAAGATGAAACAGGTTGACTAGCATGCTATACTTCAAGCTACACATCTAAAAAATTCATGTTTACCAAGCTGTTCATCCCATTCTGGACACCCCCTTGCTGTGGTGACTGGCACCCATTTGTTCCCAGATAATTCTGCATTTGAATGGATAACTTGGGCACATGTACTATCAGGGCACTCAGCAACTCGATCCCAGGGTGAGACTGGACAGGGGCTGTCAACTTCTACTGCTTGTTTCGTCCATGAACTCTGCAAAAAGAGAATGCACTGATAGTTTTCCAGTACATATATGTACCAGTTTCTAACAACTTTGTTAAACTTTTGATCCAAGGTTTGAGAGAGATTCAATTCAACCATTAAGGGTGAGAACATTAGAGGTAAAAGCCCAAATAACAAGGTTTAAAGTGTTCAAGAAGGATGTGGCATCAGTATATAATGTAGCCAAGATTTGGAATGAATAAAATAGACTCATGCAGACTACCATAATATTTTTGGATTAATGCTCAGTTGAACTTGAGCAAAACAATGAAGTTCTGGAAATTTTTATTTGCATTTCGAGGTTGCATTTTGTCACTAAATCTTGATTAGTGGAACAACCTATATACCTTTTCTGCTACATATGTGTCAGCATGAAATTGTTGCCAAACTATCAATAATGCTGTTGGAGATATGAACCGATTTATTTTCTCTTTCATATAAAAAACCTTTCAGCACTGTATGAGCTACTCAAATATTTTGATGAGAGACTAAACATTCTTTTCTTCAGAACCCGTACATGATTTCCTAAGCAAAGGTTAGCAGAGGCAGAGCTTAATTGTAAGTCAAGGACTTACAGTGTCAGATCAAAACTAATTTTATGCTTCTGTGGTTTCAATGAAACATTGTGTCTTGATATTAAACTTGAATGAAAATTAAAACCCATTACAATTAAAAATAAAATATCTTTAAATATTATAAATTAATGCATACAGAGAAAACAAACTACCCTCACTGCACTAGGTCATAAACCAATGATAGAGTAACAGTTTCAGAAATCAGGTTGCTAATCACAGTTCAACTTCAATGGAACCTGTCTACACTCTAAGTTCTAAAATTCACTACTAGATATTAACCTCATAAAAATACTCTGCAACTTGAGGACAGACGTATACCTGAGTGTCACTCCCATCATAACTACCATCCCCAACATTTAGACCGATGCTCCCATTATCATCCTTGTCATTGCTGCCAGTATTGTTGTCAGACTTCTCAACACATTTTGATTTCACAGATTTTTGAGTTTGTGTTCCGCTTTCACTTCCACTACCACTAGACTGAGGGAGCAGAAATCAATCATTTGGCAAAGAAAACTATGAAAACATAAAATGTGATCCGATTCTCTTTTTTTTTTCCCTCTGGAGATAATATGGATGAAGTACAATACCATGATAACAAAGTTGTATAGAAGTTCTCCTAATCAATACCAATCATATAAGTTACCTTGTTCATACAATTGTAAAATAAACTAGTGGAGCATGCTTTTAGTTTCAAATATTTTATCTATTTTCTTGAAAATGAAGCAGGAAACAACAAGAAAAGCTTGCTAGTACGTAGGTTTCCAATCTATACTTAGCATAGGGAATCTAAATCTGAAGTAGGAAGTTAACAACTCACACTATGGCATCTCCTCCAAACATGCTGCCAAAGGTTCTTAAGCTCATTCTTTCGAATAGGCTTCACTAAAAAGTCAACGGCACCTTTTGATAAACACTTAAAAACTATACCCATTGAATCATGAGATGACATCACTGCACGCAAATCTCATAAAAAATAGTAGTTAAAAGTTTCTGCTTGAAAGATCTCAAAGTGAGCAACAACAGAAAATGCTAGAACAATCAACAAAAAAGCAGAAGAGAGCGGATAACTTACTGATCACAGGAACATTTTTACGTGTTTTGTGGCTCATAATCTTGCTCAAAAGAACAATGCCAGATAAGCAAGGCATAACGACCTCAGTCAATACAAGATCAATATGATTGGTCAAATCTTCTAATATCTTCCATGCTTGCAATCCATTTGCAGCTTCAACAACTGGGATACAAAGTGAGTGTTTCAGTTAACATAGGCTACATGAGCCCCTATAGTTCACCAGATAATTGACAAGTCAAGCATTCCAGAATAGAAGAGCAAGCCCCATCTAGGAGTAAATATATCTCATATAAAAAAGAAAAGAAGAGGAGAGGGATCAAACATGAAATAAGTAATAAGAGATAATAGGTATCATAAAACTTTATCATTAAAATCTAACCAAGTATCAAGTATATTGATTATATGAATAGACAAGATGCAAAATACAAGAAGAAAAAGTCTGGCTGCAAGTGCTGCTGCATGCTAGCTTAATTTGGCCCTCAACAACCAAAAAAAAAAAAGTAGCTAATATAGTCAAATCTTGTAATTAGAGAGGCTAATTATCAAATGAATCTAATTGAGAAATAACTTCCCCCACATAGAAGGTGGCGGGAGAAATTTAATAATTTATAGAGTCCTATAGAATGACTTCCAAACCTTAGTAGCATTATTCCAAGATAATAAATTCTGAGGCACAATTTTATAATTTGCATCTCTTCAGCCAAAAAAGAGGATAACAAAATTGTTCTGGATTTACAGTCCCAGAAATACTTGAGTCACTAACCTTCATATCTGCAATTGCGCAGAAGCGCAGTGACAACATGTCGAGTAGAATCATCATTTTCTACAAGCAGAACCTTAATTGATGTTTGATGCAGAAACCTCTCCCAACAACCCGTGGAATTTTGAGGCCGTTGCTGTGGCATTTGCAGCACAGCAGGGGCTTGAACATCCCTAACATGACCATCTCTTACATTCTGTGCAATCTTGTTAACATTCAAATCATCTCCTTCTAGCATCGCATGTTCCTCAGCCACAACTCCATTTACAGTTCTCTTGTTACCATCATATAGCTGATGATTTAGTTCTCGGAACCCTTTCTCATCATCGCTATAAACGTTCATCTAGAAACTTCCCTGTAAATCAGATCAGAAAAGACTGATAACAATAAGGACGGTCCAACATTGGTACAGTGCAAATCTTTCCCCAATTCCCAAAATAAATAGTACATAGCTTCATCTTTGAGAAGCCTAACCTCTGCAAATACAGACAGTTCAACCTAAAACACAAGTAAATCACTAAGGAGCTCCATAACTAAAAGTTAAGCAAATCACCACGACAAAATATAACTCCTTTTAATCTTCAGTAACCAACTCCGTACCCCCTAAGCTGCCTTCCCCCTGTAGAAAAAACAGAGCCAATCAAAATAATGCACCAAAATCTAACCACGAACAAATTCACAGCGATGCGAAACAAGATTAATTTTATACATAAACAATTAACAAGAAGTTAATTTCAAATTATCCAAATTAAAAAAAAAAAAAAGGTTAAAGATTTCTAGGTCAAAACCCTAATATCAAGCACCTAAAAATCTGCTCCTAAAATTAAAGCAAAGCTTTTCTAGTACTAACCAAAACCTAATTAAAAGATCTAAACAATTATAAGTAAACTACTACTCTACAGCATCATTTCTTAGTTCTTCAAAAACAAAGTAAACGAAATATACGGCAAAAAAGAAATAGAATTCAATAAAAGAAACTCAGTCAAATCTTCTTATGAAACTAACGAACTTACAGGTGCTAGAAATTAAGATAATCCTTGCCGTAGCTTCACTAACCGCCATTATTGAGCTCGATCGTACACATATTTGGATTTAAAAATAGCATTGGGCAAAAATTAATTTCAAAGCTTAGTTTTACATTAAAATGATAATTTTTTGTGAATTTATTGCAGATTAAATATTTATTTATTTTTTAAAATAAATTGACCGCCTGAGAAACAGAGTGACGCGGAAGGGAACGATATCCGATATCGCTGACCTTTTGTTCAAGAGATGGAAGAGAAACGAAGATATTAAGATGAGTCCAAGGATGATGACGTGGAAAAAATGGTGGCGTGGGATGTTAGAGAAAACTCCACGTCGGATAGAGATATTTCCACGTGGCTAAAAATTTGGGGCCGATGGGGTTGCTGAGCTGGATAAAATCAAAAGCCGGGAGCTCCATCGTCCCAACAGCATCTCTAAAGATCTTGGAGATCTCGTGTAGACACGTGGCCTGTGAAGACGTGGGGAATATTGTGGCGGGGTCAGGTCGTTTTCACGGACGTTAAAGGCGGCACACCTCATTCTCATTTGAAACGATCATTTTATTTGTGGTTAAAGGGCGGTCGTGACGGCGTTAAGTTTTTCCATGAAATGACGAGAGTAGCCTTGCTATTAAAAAATGATAAAATTATCCGCGATTTGTCTTGGACTAAATATCTAGGTTAGTGTTGGCTACAATGTCACACAGAATGCCGCAATGACAGGATTACCCTTTTTATTTTCTTTTCAAAAATTTCTTACATCAACATTCTTATTCTAATAAATATATATGAGCAAATGATATTTCTTTGATAATTATAAGAAATTAATTTGATATCATAAAATATAAATTGAATTTGTTCATGTTTTATGAAAAATCCAAATTTAAATTTAATTTTATGACCCTTCTTATAAATAATGTTAAATTATTTATAATATAATTTTTAACAATTTGTCAGAGGCACAAATGATTCATGGCTTTCACAAAATTTGCGATTATAAGCTTTTGAAGACGACAGGTAGAGAAAACCAGGTCAACCCCTCCGTCAACTCCTCAAGGAAACTGCTAGTAAAAAATTTAGGAGTGTCATTATTATTCAATTTTAACTACTTGTAAAATCCGAAAGGCAACATTTGATTGCATTATCTTGTTGTAGTCGAATCCTACTCTGAATATGCGGGTGAAAGACTCAGAGCTTATCCAATGGAACCCGACGTCCCCACCAGAGCAACCCCACTCCAACCCTGGTCAGCTTTGTAAAGTCTTGTACTAAAAATGAAAAATAGCTTGCCATTGTCTTTTGCAAGTGGTTTGAGATGTGAGAATGCAGATTTGAAATCATCGGATTGGTTAGCTACAAAACATTTGGCAATCCTTTTGGGTCTTCTTCATGCATGAATCCTCGGCATGCCCTGAAGAGCTGATGCTTTACGGGTTGCTAATCCTCGTACTGTCATGTCAGCCTTGTCCATCGCCATCCCACCGGACAGGTAGAAAAGGATCATTAAACCATTTGATGTCAATAAGAAACATAAGAGGCCCCTCGTGGGGCTTGTGTTTCGGAAATTTTCACCTGGCATGGAGTTTGGGCTTTGACGATCAAGTGATAACTGAATCTGGTTCCCTCTCTTCGGGTAACCTGATCTAGCACAAGGATCCACCAGAGAAGAAAACTACCCAACAGGGATTTCTTGGAGGCCAGATTTTATGAATCCGCAGCCACCATGGAGGCTGGGGTGACAAAAAATTTTTAAATGTTGGATTTGATCTCTCATGTTTATTTAAGTCCAATTTTCTTTTATAGGACAATCTATCTTGGACTGCTGAAACTCTTGCAGTCAAGAGCTGGTTATGAGCCCCAGTTTCATTTATGCAGCTGTGATAACTTACCGCCCGGCTATACTAGAGCCAACCAGCTCGGCCAGCTGCAAGGATGTCAAATTGGCAATCATCAGAGGTTAAATTATCATGCAAATACAGCAATAAGTCAACTAACCACAAATCTATGCAGTGGAGCACATTAGGGACTCCTGAACAATCTTGACAGATTTCAGCTTGCTAATCAAAAGAGATGGTGAGATAGGGACTTAATCATTCGAAGTTGCATTTTGATCACAACTATAGTCTATAACTTGCAGCAAGAAAATACTAACAACAATAACAATAATGACACACGATGATTCCGCCAATGTTGAAGTATTCAAACATATTATTTCTCAAATCGGTTCTTGGATATATAAGCTGTCACAAAACACTCCCTTTGCATATCTCCCATATTAAGATAAAGCAGAGTCTCTTAGTAAACAAAAAAACGGTAGCCCAACTAGGCAACAGTTTACATGTAATCAACTATTTTTATTCGCAAAAAAAGGGCAAGTTCTACTCTCCTGTCAATGCAAATTTAATAAGCATGCTACTCCAGCATGCAAAGAATATGAGACTGACCTATAAAACTACAGTAGTATGCAATACTTTATGCTGCAACATACTGTCTTTCATCGAAATCTTCAAGGTTAAGAGCCTCGAGAAGCTTTGGCCATGATTCAGGAATACCTCCTGGCAAACCGAATTCCCTCAACTTTCCTTGATTTTGGTAGTAGTCCTCCAAAGGCTGACTCTGTGTGCACAAAATACCAAAGCATGATTATTAACGAAAGAAGAAAGCATCTTAGCAGGAAAGAGAATCTTTAAATGCAATTTTCCATTATATATGCAACCATACGAGCATGTAGATTCCCACCCTATCCCCAAAACAAAGGCCAATTTCACCTCCTTCACAAAGTAAATAAAAAGCTGACAAAATTTTGCCCGACAAGCATTTGGTACTCTACTGCTGTGAACAAGAATCTCATTCTAACTATGCAAATTTGCATGTACATTTCAAGAAGATTCTTCCCCATTTACATTTACAATGAAGCAAGACCAAAGAATAAACTGATACCTTTTCATTGTATATCCGGAGTCTCTCTTTCACCACTTCTTCTGTATCATCTGATCTAGTTACGGGCTTTGACATACAACTTTGGGGAGGAAGAAGGGGAGCCATACTAATTCCAGGGTTCCTGTTCTGACCCTTCACATTAATCGAAGCCACATTGAAATTTCATCATAAACCAATTTTCCTTGGTTCACAATATCCGTTAGCTGCAGCCAAGCAATAAATGAACAACTTCACATCAGAAACTACATAAATAACGGGATAACGGATTTTAAACAGATCTAAAAGGCTAAGAAGAAGGGAAAGGAACGAACTTGTTTACAGAGGGCTCCAGAGGAGGTGAGTTCTTCACGGACGAGATCGCCGGCAGCGATGTGAGGGACGCCGAGGAGATTCGGGAGGCGGCCGCCGTAGGTTCCTTGACCAACCATTGGAGATCCAAGAAACACCCATTGCACGTTCCTCTCGCTCGGATCTCGGAGCGTGATCTTCTAGTTTCCAAAGGGAAAGGTCACGTGTGGATTGGGTTCAGCGGATGCAGCTGACATAGAATATAAGCATCTCCTTATGTGAGAGATGGCGGAGGGTTTCGAGAAGCGAGTGATGGCCGCCATTGAAGGGAATAGAAAGAGTTCAGTGAGCTGTTTTTCGGCCTCCAAACCCTAATTTCCATTTTCGAGTTTTTTTTCTCTTTTTGAGTGAATAAAAAATATTTCTTAAAAAAGGTTACACGTTTTGCTGATGTGGCGGGCATGACAAACGGTACATATACACATGTTTTCAATAATAACCGTTAATCTCTTGCCACGTGTTACCACAGCTCCCATAAAACCACCAACGGTTACAGTTAACTCCGATATCTCTCTCCAACAAATTATTCTTCGGACTCCACAGCCATGGCGATTTCTCTCTCGACAAGTCTCTTGCCAAACACTTTCCAATCAAAAGGGACCCACAATCAGTGCTCAACACGTGTACTTCTTAATCAACCATCAAATTTCAGTCTCAAACACTGTAAAAACGAGAACAAAATCTCGACGCGACGGAATCCACTGGTGGCCTCCGCTGTCTCAGGCTCAACAGGAAAGTATTATTTTTTGTTCTTTTTTTTTTATAGTTCTTTATTATCTGCAAATTTTTTATTGTAATTTGAAACTCTAATCAAATGGTTGAACTTGAAATCGGTTTGTTTTTTTAACAGGAGTCCAATCTTCTGGATTGAGTGAAGATACTGTGGATTTATTAGATGTGGTCAAAGTGTTTGATTTGAACGGAAATGGAATTCCAATTTCTGATTTGTGGAAAGATCGGAAAGCTGTTGTAGCATTTGCTCGCCATTTCGGGTGATTACTGTAACACATCATAGAACTTGCATGTAATTGTTTGATTGCATGAGGGTTAAAAAAATCCTCAAAAAATTTAATAATTATTTTAAGTCTTGATATTTTATCGTAATCAATTAAGGTCTAAATTTTTTATTTGAATTAATTAAATTTTTAAATATTTATTTTCACTCAATTGAACATTTATATATTTATTTTCACTCCTTGATTTGACAGAAACAGCTAATCATTTTTTCTCTGGGGTTTAATTGATGAAAATAAATGTTTGAGAGTTTGATTGCAAAAAATAATAAGGGCTTAAATGATTATTGAATTTTAGTTTTTTTGACCCTTTTGCCTTGTTTGAATTTGAATTTGAATTAAGATTTCACTGCTTGTAGATGTGTCCTTTGTCGCAAACGGGCTGATTATCTTGCCTCCAAGAAGGTAACGTTCTTGTATGCTTGTATATGAGGCTGAGACTTGGTTTCATGCTCTTTGATTTGTATTAAAACAGTCATGATAATGGCAGGACGAAATGGATAAATCAGGTGTGGCACTTGTATTAATTGGTCCCGGAAGCATTGATCAGGCAAGTCCACTAACTGAATAGCATTTTCGTTTGTTAATTCATGACAACGATCATAAAAAATTTGCAGCTTTTTCTTCTTGTTGGCAAATGCTTTCATTTCCATTGTGTGGTGGAAGAAATATTAAGAGCATCTTAATAAAATTTTGATCAGGTTCATAAGTAGGTGTGGCTAGTTCCAAGTGTGAATTATTTGTGATCTTCTAATGTGATAGGCTGGATGTTTGTTATAACCAAGGCAATTGTTCAATGCAGGCAAAAACATTCGCAGAGCAGACTAAATTCAAAGGAGGTAAAAAAAAAATCCTATATTGCATTTTGTTTGCTATCTTCTTATTGGATATTAACAAGACAAAGATTGTTGTTATCTTGTTGGTTCAGAAGTTTATGCAGATCCAAACCATTCATCATACGAGGCATTAAGATTTGTTTCTGGGGTTACAACCACATTTACCCCCAAAGTACGTAAAAATGAAGCATAATACCATTAATGGTTTTTGTTTCTCGGCAATGATGTTTATGACATTGGATTTCTGTTATTATAGACCTTTCTCATTCAGTTGTTTGTTTGACATGCCAGGCAGGTCTTAAGATAATACAGTTGTATATGGAAGGTTACCGACAAGACTGGAAACTTTCATTTGAGGAGGACACTGTGAAGAGAGGGGGCTGGTATGTCAACCATTTTATTACAGTTACCCTGTTTATGAATCATCACCCGGATTCACAAGCTAGTTTTGCACAAGGCACACACATTATTGTTGCTGCAGTGCTTCCTGCATTTCCGTGATGTTATAGTAGAAATTTTCAATCTGCTTATGATCCAAACAATAAGTAAAATTGACAAAGTAGTAGGATGTTAGTCAGTTCTTCAATTTATACATAAGAGTGTATGACAATAATGATGTTTTGCCTACATTTAATTTGTTCAATGTTGCAGAAGGCTGCTTTTAAGTCCTAACTTTTACAGATTGTTTTCTCTGCAGGCAGCAAGGTGGGATTTTAGTAGCAGGTCCTGGAAAAAGGAACTTTTCATACATCCACAAGGTACGTTGCCAAGATGACAAATCCGAATGCCACAAGATTGTCAAAGCATCATGACAATGGGAATTTTACCAACAACTTCTCGGAAATCATTAGATAATAATTTGTCATTGGCTCACAGCCTCTTTTTTTTTTTTTTTCCCCTAACATGGAATTTAAACCTATTTTCCTTGACAGGACAAAGAAGCTGGGGATGATCCAGAGATTGAAGACATTTTAAAAGCCTGTTGCTCATGAGAAATGGGACATCCCCTTAAATAAATTTGTTATCTTCTGTATAAATCTTCCTTTCTTTTCCTGAAATTACAAGCTCTGAACTCTGATTCTTCTATGACAGTAAAATAATTTATAGATAGCATGATAAATCTGTATAGAATTGTCCTTCTTTTCCTCCTAATTTAGTCTTGAGAATGCTAGCTAGCATGATTACTTAACGATGGATTTCAGAACTCATAATTTGGCTGCTTTGAAAGTTACTTTCAAGGTTGATATGCAAAGTTTAACACATTCGTATAGAATCATTGGCAATGGAACTTCATTTGTCTTTCAGATTGAGGGTCCACTGAAAATTGAAGGGAAAAAAGTGAAAAACAAAAAATAAAAAGCAAGGGATAGATGTGAATATGATGCTACCAGACCAGCAAAAGCAATTGATGGTAATGAAAGGTAAGATTCATAACCAGCAAAGGGCCAAGTCCAAGTTCACCATCTCAAGCTCAAAACCCAACTGTTTCTTATCCTACTATTTCGGGTCATTCCTGTCTACCCTTGAAAACGACTTATGAGATAACCTGTAGTACCGGACAAGAAGGAATAGGCATCGTTCAAAGGTGAAGAGAAGACAATAGGGTTGATGCAGAGTAGGATTAAAAACATATTTGGCTCTTAGTTCCACTTTCTTGAGGGGAGGAAGACACATGGGAAGACCAAGAAAGCAAGACCATAACAACCAATTAGCTAACATGGGTGCTTCCCTGGCCCCTGGCTACATCCAGTTCCATCCTCTTCAGCATCTCCAGCAACTATTTGTCAACCTATATCAGGCTGTGACTGTTAATGGACAGAAATATGGTTAAAGACGAATTGATAGGGGCTAAGAAAGGAAAAATTCCTTATATAACATAAGACTGAAGAAAGTGCAGGGGAATTGGTCTCAACAGTCGATGAAAGAAGGCATGTTTCAAAAGATTTTCTCCTTACAGACCAAAATGAATACAGCATGAACCTGAATCATAAAACTCCTCTAAATATATAGTCATGGGTATGGAAGTTTTACTAAGTTTGCACAAAATGGAAGAAATGAAAGAAAATATAAGTGTTTGTGGAGAAAACAAACGGACTAAAAGGGAACCAGTATCTGAATTTACTTACGAAAATTTTCCCTTATATACTCATTTCATTCTGACAATGATTCTTTTACAGCAAATGAACAGCATTTTTCCAAAGGGGAATTTAGATCACTTAACTGGAGCAATAATGGTATACAGCAAAAGGAATGAGACTATTAATATGGCCCCTACTAAAGTAAATCCTGGACTGGTCCATAACTTGAGATTTGACCTCTCTGTTCTCTTTATGGGATCGACCTCTTCAGACAAGGGATAGTTTGATTGTCTGGGATTCCAGGTAACATACTTGTTAGGAGAAAACCCTGAGAAGAAGGACTTTTTGCTCTGCTTCCTGAAATTTGACCATGCCTTGTCCCAGTCGGTAGAGAATTTATCACCTGAGGATGTTCAAGAATAATTGTTGCATGAGTAATTGGGAAGAACAATGTAAACTAAGGAGTAGCTAAATCATAACAAAGTGATTTTATAATACCAACATAGCACAGTTAAACCATTGTTTGTCTCACATCGATGAAATCAATATAATCCCAAAAATTCTTTTAATATCAATGGAAATAAGGGATGTAGCTAATATGTGATAAAGACTGCACTCTGCTGCAATTTCAGTTAGCACCATATAAAAGTTGTATTTTGTTATTTTACTTTCCGGCCAATAGACATTGACTCCAGAAAATAAATCAAGTTAAGAGTCTGATGCAAGCATAAATTGCATGAAAAAGGAGAAAGATTGTGCATGATTCCATCTGTATGCTAACGTACTAATGCATACCATTACATCAATGAGGAGAATCGATAAGGGTGAAGAACAATTTACGTAGACGACTCTTAAACAAAGCAAGGGCACGTAGCACGCACTAGCAAAAGCCTTATCTCCATTTGCCTCCGTAGTAGATATGAGAACCACTTTCTAATTCTAAAGTATTCATTGTGCATATCCACTAGTCTTAATCTAAAGGAATTTATCTTTAAATGTGCTCTCCAAGTCAGCCAAGTTCAGCCACCATTGCTTAAAAATCATAAGAAAAGTACATGGCGTGGGTATATTTACCTAAACATTATGACTATCACAGGCAAATCGGATACATTTAATAGGATTAACTTTACAAAGACTTTGATTTCTAGACAGATAATGTAACCACTAACCGGAAATATTCAAGTTCTTAATAGCTCATGAGACTGCCAATTCCATCCCATTCTTCCCAATCTAAAAGGTAAAGTAGAATTTATCAGTAATCACGAATCCAGATTTTTTTTCTCTTTTGATTCGGGGAAGGGGATTTGAACACTGTATTTTTTAGTAGAAAATCATGAACTGGTCACTGAATCAAAGGCTCGAATGTTACAAATCCTGATCTTGGACACAAACTAATGTAACTCCATTTGCTTAAACTCTTTTGTTAGAATAGCTTAGTGCCACTAGCACCAACCCAGATAACTAGAGCATTAGCAGTATACCTGTCAATTTTAAACACAATTCGATTATATTTCATGGAAAAAGACGCGAAAATGATATAATAAATCTGTCAAATATTGTATATGAGTTTAATAAAAATTAAAAAAAAAAATTTATGTTTACTATATTTTCCTGTTTTATACATGTTTTACATGAAACAGATACCGTATTATACATGAATTGTCAAATATAACTAGCAACCACAAAACTAATAAAAATATTTTTAAAAGACCTATTTTTTTTCTTTTCTCCCAGCTAACCAAGTTGGCAACGTACCTCAAAATAACCGAAAATTTATTTACTTCCCAACAAAACAGGCAAATCAACAAAAACCAATCAAATAGTAAAATACCCTTTTGACATTGAAGCGAAATTGATACATAGGAGCCTAAAAAGCTGATGACTTACCCCTGTTATCACCGTTTTGTTGAGGTTGCTTAGAGTCGTTTTTGGAGCAGAAAGTTTTGAGAGAAGAACAAGGATTAGAAGATATAGATTTCTGGGGATTTCTCCAAAAGCTGTGAGATATTAAGCTGCCGATTCCAGCTCGAATATCCATTTGCATCTGAAACTGAAAGATTCCAATTACACCTACTCAGCTTCAATCACCTTTCTTTCTCTCCCGCACACACACAAATTGGCTTGTTTCTTATCTCTTAGGAAAAACAGACACCTCAAATTCTTCCATGCCATCATTCAGTGACACGTGGCAGAATGAGCAGTTTTTATTTTTAAATAAATTTCATTTTTTATATTTATATTATTTTCATTATATGCAAGATGATGCATGTAATTAAACACATGAGTTATAATTTTACATATAGTCAACAAATTTTTAAATTTTATAATTAAAATATTATCAAATGTTTTATTATTTATTAATTTATTTATTAATTCTTAAATATAGTTTTAACGAAATATAAGACATTTCTTTAATCTCATCCATTAATTTTAAAAAGTTCATTAATAATGAATAATACTAATAATTTTGATGAAAAGATAAAAAAAATTCTCCAATAAAAAATTAATAATTATTAAAAATTTTAATATTTATTATAATTAATCAAATTTTAAAATTTTCATATCAATCAATTCAATCTTTAAATATTTATTTTCATTTAATTAAACTTTAAACATTTATTTTTATTTTAATTAAATCATCAATTAAAAAAATAAAAGTTGATGATTAATCAATTTTTTAATTAAAATTTATTTAAAAATAAATATTTAAAATTTAATTAATTATAATAAAATAATAAAATTTTAAATTATTATCCAAGCATTTTACCCTTTAACCAATAATTTTCTTCATCATATTCACCCTTTTTCCAAGTGTAATTTGATAGTATAAGTTATGATGTAGTGATGAAGTTTTTTTTAAGCTTTAATTATTAAAAAAAAGGAAAATTATTAGCTACATTGGTCCTCTGTCTGATCATATTTGTAGCCAATCACAGACACGTGGCATTATCAGGGACGATTGAGACCCAAAATCATTCCACAATAATGAGCAATCACATCACATTGCTTTATCTTACCCAATTTCAACGGCACCAAAATATTCAATGAAAAATAATTTTCTAATTGGTAGGCACCAAGCTGCTTAGCAGTCTGAGGCTTACTGAGTCAGCCTCGGCCCGACCTCCCTCTGTGTCTGTCCGACTGTCGCCATTCCCATGTTCGCCCAAATGGTCAGTACAATTGGGCCTAGCAAAACACGTGGATGGACTTCGCTGCTAGTTAAACCACCGCGCAAGAGGATGATCAGGCTTCCACGTGTCATCAGATCCTTTTATAAAAAAAACGCCGTGGACAGCACGGTGGGCCGTAAGTCACGATTAATTTATAAGTCCTAGTTTCTTCAAAAACTTAATTTTAAGTTTACTTATATATTATTAATTTTTTCATTTATTTTATTTATTAAATTTTTAATAATTATAATTTTTATTTATACATTTAATATCATAAAAAACGTGAAAAATAAAAAAAATCTAAAATTGAATCTGATAATCACAGTATTTAAATAGTTAAATAAATAAATTGATTTTTTCAAATGAAAAATCTAAAATAATATTCGAATCAAATATAATTATTTTTTAATGTAAATAATTAAACTTAAAACAAAATATTATACATTTAAAATATTTATAAATAAAAAGTTGAATGACAATGAAACATTGTTATAATTATAATGAAATTTCATGATCAAATTTCATGAGGTTAATTTCATTAGGCCACATCCCAACCTACTTATGATTGATGTTCTCTCAACCGTTAGATCATGGAGTCGTGACCGGATGATGGAGCGTAAATCTGCACCACTGTTTTTTTGTTTTAAAATAACTTTAAAAATAATAAATCGAGCGGGCGAGTGTAAACAGGAAACATACTTTTTGTGTACGAGACGACACGATATTGGATGGTTGTTGATTTTAGTGGACGAGAAAGGCTGGCGCGTTGCTTTCGCAAATCATCGTGGGACCCACCGACCTTTTGAGTTTAAGCCTTTCAAACATCGGCGGCGCTGAACGGATTAACTGGCTTGGTTTTCTGAGTCGCCTGCATGGCTGCTACCAACCGCTCCATTACTCTACGTTGCTTCCCCATGGAAACTACGGTGCGGTCAATTGCCAATTGGACGAAAATGCTAAAACTTATAGTTTGGAAAAGGAGATCTTTGAATTTAGCAAATTATTGTATGAATCATTAAATTCAATATTCAAATTTTAATCATAAACTTTTCATGCAATTTGTTAGAGTATAATATAAATTTTTTATTAATAATTATTGTTATACCTATTCATTTGATTAATTTTATATTTTATCAAATCAATATACATTCGATTGTCATGTTATCATTAAAAAATATTGATATCCAAATCTGTTGTCACAGCATGAACTCGCCCTTGCCTCTTTACCCAATGAAAAAATTTTGGTCAACCATTATCACGAACACTCTATTACTGCATTAGGCTCATATTGTTATATGTGATTTTTTATCAAATTTTACATTCATTTTCCATAAATTTCAACAAGTTTAATTATTTCACTGTCAATTATTTAATATAATATAAGGTAAAAGAAAATCCAATTAAGGTAACTCTGGACCTTTTTCCTCTATGTTTCTTTCACATTTTTTGTAATTTACTATATTCAATCTCAAAACCATGAATACTTAATTGATTTGAACGTTATAATGCATATCAAAAGATTAATTTTAATGTCTCTTGATCATATTTTCTAACTACATATATAAATCATTTCCAACTCATCCTCTATATCACCGTTTAACTCACCGATACCTAAAACACTACCAACAATTATAATATTATGAAATGATCATAATTTAATAATAAAAAATCAAACATATTTCATTGTTTTATTTAGTGTTAATAAAATCGAACTCAAACAAGATCAACCCCTTTTTTACTTTCCAATATTTCTTGTGAAAAAATTAAAACAATCGTATAAAATTATCTCAAAATTTGAAAATTTAACTTTAAAATACAAACATATAACATAATAAACTTAAAAAATATTTTCATGAGAATTATAAAAAGAAATTAAAATTATTTATAGTAATAATGGAAAGTAAATGAGAGATTTAAATTTTTTGTATATATTTGAATAAAAAAATGAACCAAAAATATATATTTTAATATTCAATATATAAGAAAAGAAAAGGCCAAAAAGGGAAATGCACGTGATACTTACTAGTCATTGAGAGCTCAACCAATCACGTTGTAGTATTAGATACTACCTAGTGAATGAGACCACACAAGAATGAAACCTCTCACCAGGGATAAAGACCATGAACTAAAATCGGCGTAGAAGAGGAATTGAAACCAGACGATTAATTGAGCGGCCTCAGATAACTCACCACACGTGTTGCGAACCGCCAGACAACCGAAGTCTGAAGCTCTTCTCTCTCTCTCTCTCTCTCTCTCTCTGAAAGTCAGTCACTTTGTCTAAAGGTTGGTGGCAAAAGCAGAGGAAACGAGCAGAGAAAAAACATGAACTCAACGTCATCATCACCAAACCCTCCACCGCCTCCTCCGCCACAGTCTTCTATGTCAACCACGTCCGCAGATGGGTCCGGAAAGAAAGTCAGGAAACCTTACACCATCACCAAATCACGTGAGAGCTGGACTGAAGAAGAACACGACAAGTTCATTGAAGCTCTTCAACTGTATGTTCTTCTTCTTTTAAAGTTTTTTTATTTATTCATTTATTTATGTTTTTCTTTTCTTAAAGTTAAAAACTTTTGGTCTTTTTTTGAAAAAGAAAAGTGAATTACAAGTACCCATCGCCTTGATATACTGTTTTCTTCGTTTTCCAACTCTCCATCTCATTCTTTTAGTGGGAAAATTTCCATTGTCGTGTTGTTTCTTATCTTCAATTCTTCTGTTTTCCAAGGTCAGAACTTTGGAAAATCTTGAATGAGTCTTTTCTTGTGTCAATTGTGAACTAGATGCCTTGTTTCTCTTTTTGTTTATTAGCAATTTGAACTGTAAGGATTAATGTTGTTTTATAATAGAAAAACATTCTTGTTAGCTTTTCTTTCTTTTGTAAAAGTAGTTTTCTGTCTTTCTTGCTGACTTAGGTTTGACCGTGACTGGAAAAAAATTGAAGATTTTGTCGGTTCAAAGACAGTTATCCAGGTTTAAAGACAAAGATTTGATGTTATGAGTTAAGGTTTTTCATCTTTGATCTCATTTTGGTTCATTTTTTAAAATGAATATTTGCTGCCTTTTCAGATTCGAAGTCATGCCCAGAAATACTTTTTGAAGGTCCAAAAGAATGGGACAATTGCACATGTGCCTCCTCCTCGCCCCAAGCGCAAAGCTTCTCACCCTTACCCACAAAAAGCGTCTAAAAATGGTTTGTTTTACAACAGATTGTGATGATATATTGATTTTAAGTATTAGGTTATGATTGCATTTTGACATGCTCTTAAATTAGCAGTTTTAGTGCCATTACAAGCATCCATGGCTTATCCCTCTTCCATGAATACCATTGCACCTGGATTTGCTCCCTGGGATGAAGCTTCCATGTTGGTAAACACTGCCTCAAGCAAAATCATGCCACCGCAAGATGACTTTACACGTCTTGGAGGAGCTGAAGGCATGGGTACTTCTCTCTGTTGTTTTCTTTCTACAATAGTAGTAAACGAGCTTTCCTAAAGGGAACTTTGCAGCACTTCTTATGCATACAACATTACTGATTCAGCTGATATTGGGTCAAAGGGCGTAGCAAGGATTAATAACAGTGGTGTTAGCGGCATTGGAAGTTCAAGTAGGACAATACCTAGTTCTGATATGCCAAACCAAGGGAAACAAACTGCAATGCTTCATGGTAATTGTTTTGACCATATCAATTGTTTTATCCACTTACTTTGTTAGTACTTGTTGATATAGGTCAGTTTTATCTTTATTTTACAGGTATACCTGATTTTTCTGAAGTTTATGGCTTCATTGGGAGTGTCTTCGATCCAGACACGCAAGGGCATGTGCAAAAACTCAAAGAGATGGATCCCATAAATTTTGAAACTGTGAGTCAAATGGCCCTTTTTTTTTTTTTTCAACAGTTAATATTTGCAGTAATTATCATAAAGTGCCCTAATTTACATAATATGATGTAGAAGTTGTAAAATAAAAATCAGAGAAAAAACTGGTCAAGAGGACCTTGTTTTTGGCCAGTAGTGACCATAATCACTCAGTTAAAGTTTAGTAGTTTACAAAGCAGTAGTTTATGTAATTCTTTTTTGTGACTTTGTGCAGGTTTTGTTATTGATGAGAAACCTCACTGTTAACTTGTGTAGTCCTGACTTTGAGCCAATTGTAAGTATTCTTATGAAGTTTATGTTAATGCTTCACGCATTATTTTCTGTTCAAATATTAATGGCTGAGGAAAATCTATCCTGTCAACTTTATGTTTTTTTTCTTCCTTTTGATATAAAAATTTCTCATGATTATGTCCTACTTCCTACTTAATATGCATATTCATCTACAACACTTGAGGACTCACGTATTTCAATTCCTTCTTGGTTATTTGAACAAGAGAAAACCAGCAAAACACTTGAGTACCCACGGATTTCTTTCTTTTTATATTTTTTTTCAATGACTGTTCTATAATGCTGGCTAATTGATCTCCTTGGTTGTTGCAGAGGACGGTCATGTCCTCATATGATGTCAACACGAAAACATTAGGCGATTCCGCGGGAATTATTCCCCAGAACCAAATGAATGATCTATTATTGTGTTAAGCTGTTTATTATGTAGGATTTGCCGACAGGTACATGCTTTTCATATTTTTCTGCTTTTCTTCTCTGCTTTCATTGTAACTTCTCCTTTTCCTGCATCTGGAATTGAATTTCTTTACTTTGACTGCTTTCTTAAATCTAAAGTACCTAATGGGACTTGGGCAGCATGCTTGGAGGTTTTGCTAGGTGAAGGAGTTGCAGCCACCAGCTGGAGAAAATGTTAGAAATGATGAGTGGAAGAATGGTTTTCTACTACAGCCTTTCAAGCTCCTTGATATCCAGCGGGATCAGGCCGAATGGTGGTGACCCTGTTTTGACCTATCAACCAGATAATTGTGTATGTTCTTGTGAGGTCTGTTGATTAGCTGTTTTACCTAATTGCCAAGTATGCCTCACAATAGAAGTTAAACTACGAGAATTTGAAAACATATTTGTAATGAGGATCATGATTCTGCCTTGTCGATGTAGCTAGAAGGATCTCCATGGCAACATTTACATGTTAGATTTCTTATCTATTTTCATATTGGTTTATTAACACATATTCTACAAGAACATTTGATGAGTCAAAGTGGTTGCTGATATCCAAGACATTCATGAGCTCATTAGAGATCACCATGTTCAACTGGCAGATTGATTAGCCAACTATAGCAGACTTCTTTGGAGGATTTCACTCGTCTTTTCCCTACTCCCCGGACCGTGTCTTTTGCCTTTTTAGCAGGTAGCTCGGATCCTGCATGGTTGATGCCAAGCTGGGGGGTTTCTTTTACAGGTTCTTTGTACCAATTATAAGTTATTATTATCAAACCAGTTGTATGAAAACAACAAAATCATATACCTAATTTTCTCACTGGAAGTCTCTTTCTCCCCCCAATTCGCCCCACCCTCTTCTCACCTTTGTCACCTCTATTTTTTTTTTTTTTTGGGGGGGGGGGGGGGGGGGGTAGTCATAGATCTAGCTTTTGCCACATATAAATGGACGATCTTGTTTTGACGAGGACAATAATCTGTACCAAAAACAACAACAACAACAACAAAGCTTTTTCATGATACACTCCCAACTTCTACTAACAAATTGTTGACACTGATGAATAATGGTAAATAAGATCTTTTGCATGACTAAAACCCATAGTTTTTTAACTGCTAACAAAGAATCTGATTCAACAATAACTCTCCTAAAATCTTTCTACCAAGCTAATTTTAGTCCTATCTAAATTGCATACAATAACTGTCAGAATCTCGTGTAATGCCTCCTATATCCAAATCACTTCAATTTGAACAAGCAGCGTTGTCCACATTAATTTTAATAGAAGCAGCCCCACATTAATTTTAATAAAAGTAAATGGAGGAGGTTTCCAAGCATAGGAAAGACCTACTTAACATAAGTCCTTTGATCTGACAGTAAGCAAAAAACCCCCTAAACTTGTCTTTGACAATATTAGCAGCATAATCAGATAAAGAAAATCCCTGTTTAAATATGCATTTATTCCTCCATTTCCAAATATTCTAGCAACCAAACACAAATAAAATGGGCCAAGGTATTCCATCATGCACAATATTACTCCTGACAAGATTAAAAAAAATCCAATTCTATACCAACAAAGAAAGAAAATGTTCGAAGATAGAGCCCCAAATTTAATAATTCCATAACATACCTAAAAATTTGCAATATCTAAACAAGTGCAATAACGATTCAATCTGATTCTAACGTCTTGGACAGAAGGCTGAATTGAAATCCCTCCAGCCAAGAAAGAATTGCAGCTTGAAACCTCAGCAAATGGGCTAAGAAAAGTCTAATGAAAAAAACAGGCCTTGGTCTGACCCAATTATACCTCATCAGACCACTGACCAAGCTAAAAGTCCTGAAACCCATACAGTTTGCCATTTCGATACCCGTTAGACAACTGCCTCGACCCTGATTCTCTTTCTTCCTCTTCCTGTCATCCTCCGTGATTCTCTAGTCAAAATTTCACCTATTTCTACGAAATTAACAAAGCAAAATTATGTGAAGGGAAATCAGATTTGCTGTTATTGGTAAGATTACATCTCTGTTAAATCTGTGAACAATTTCTGATATAGCTGTTGTTTATCACTTATTTTTTAGCAAATTGAGTCTCAAGGTTTCAATTTTGTGTTTGATTATTAACCCATAGCTCCAATTGTCTTGTTTTCATTGGGGACAAATAGTAATAGAGATCAAGCAAGTTGAAAATGCTGCAACCTCAAATAGTGCAATCCCCAGCCAGGCTAGGTTTGACAAACCCTAATTCACCGTCTCTTCAAAACCCTACCCCTCCCAAGTACCCTTCTTCTCAACCCCAACAGCCGCAGCAACAGTCTGGCTCCAGCCTCTCACCGGCAACGACCTCTTCAACCCTCCTTTCTCTTCTTCCTCCACTCCCCAGAGCCCAATCCCTTCTCCTCCAAATGGCCTCCTTAGCTTCCAAACTGTTCGAGGTCTCCCCTAATCGTACTCTCTGGGTTTCAACCTTTCGTGGGTCTCTCCCTTCGTTTCTGTCTTCACAAATCCAATCAATGCCTCCACCTCCACTTGAATCCACCCCTACTTCCACTAAAGAAGTTCTCTCGTTGTTCACTTCCCTCCAAACCCAACTCTTCGAAGCCGTTGCCCAACTGCAAGAAATCCTGGATCTTCAGGATGCTAAGCAGAAAGTTGCAAGGCAAATTAGGTCTAAAGATGGTGCCATCCTTGCTTTTGCTAATAAACTTAAAGAGGCAGAACGGGTTCTTGATATTCTTGTTGATGATTATTCTGATTATCGGCGGCCTAAGAGGTTGAAGTTGGAGGAGGATGGTGGGGAGGATGATGATGATGATTCTTGTACCACAACGGTTGCATCTCAGTTGAATTTGTCTGATATTTTGTCGTATGCGCATAGGATTAGTTACACTACTTTTGCACCTCCGGAGTTTGGTGCTGGGCAGGCACCGCTTCGTGGGGCACTCCCCCCTGCTCCACAGGATGAGCAAATGCGTGCTTCTCAGCTTTATAACTTTTCTGATCTTGATGTTGGTTTGCCTAAAATGGTTGAGACTAAGGAGAAAACTGTTGAGGCAATAATTGAGCCACCACCTGCACAGCCTGCAGATACCAATCCGCTTGCAAATTTTGCAGCCCTTCAGGGCTTGCTTCCCGCAAACTTTACAATTCCATCAGGTTGGAAACCTGGGATGCCGGTGAAGTTGCCAACCAATTTGCCAGTGCCACCACCAGGATGGAAGCCTGGGGATCCTGTGCCACTGCCTCCATTGGACTCCTTGCCTATACCTAGGATGGAAGAGCCACACTTACGGCCTGTTCCACCTCCTGGATTGCATAAGCCACCGGAGCCAATTCAGGTGCGACATGTTGAGTTGGATATTCTTGATCCAGATGATGATAGCAGTGATTATAGTAGTGATGAGGGAAGCTCTGATGATGAAGATTGATAGTGGTAGTTTGAAGTACTTGGAGTAAGTGCACTTGCAACTTTTAACTCATTGTATTTTGCCAACAAAATGGAATTCATAGTTTCCTTCATTTATCCCTATGCTAAGAAATTTGCAATATGTGGAGTCCTTTGTGAACAGCATTTGGAACTGAATTGCATTTCGTAGATTTCTAATTGTTTCTTGTTGTGTATCTGAACCGAAAATGAGAAGTAATAGCTTTGTTTCTAACGATCAGGACAGCACCCTATTATCATTCTTCAGTAGGAAATTCATTGATTTGCCTATAGAAGCATTAATGGGATATATAAAAATGCAAGAACTGATACTGTATTATATATGTGAATAAAGGGCAATAAATCTGCTGAGGGTTACCAGTAGCGGATCCGGGATTTTTTTCGGAAGTGTCCACTTAATGCAGTGGTTGTCTACCGGGTGTTGGCTGGCTGTGGGCTGTGCTAGGTATTCGGTAGTGGCAATGAGTGGAGTGAATAGGGAGTTAAGAAAAATATGTTCATGGGAAAATTTTGAAGGTATTTAGGGGGAAATTGTCCTTAATTTTTTTTTTCTTATCTTTTGGGGTCTCCCACATTTACATTTACATCCGCAACTTGGTTGTCGCATGACTTGGTACTTTCAGACAAAATGGAGATGATCTTTCTTCAAGATACTTAATATTGGAACAAGAGGATCTGCACAGGTGTAGTAGTTTAAAAAAGAGTCTAAAGGTCGTAAAATGTGTATTTGAAGATGATTCTTCACTACCTTATAGGGGCATTTTTGATGGAATGGTGACTGAGTTTTATTGGCCAATGGCTTACAGAGGTCGTAGGGTCGTATTTTAGATGATTCTTCAATATGTTTTAAGTTGATGCAGCTTGTATTGATATTTAAAATGGAGATAAAAAAAAAAAAAAAAAAGGGTATCCAACACAACATTCATGAGTCCTCTTTTTTACTACAAAGTATGAAATTAAATATTTATTTAATTAATTGATTTGGAGATGTACAAGAAATATATGCCCCTTTCCAGTTTCAATCTGATGTTTTGGGGAAAAAAATAAAAAAAGCATTAATGGGCTCAATCTTCAATCATTTTGTATATAGGCCAGGCTGCCCATGTTGACACATCATGGCCTGTAAGTTTATCTGTGCTCTGGGCTATTATATTTGGGTCAAGGGGCACAAAATTTATCCCCATTGACCCTTTTCCGGATAGAACAGAATAATCCCCGTAACCAAACAATCAGCACCCTACCAATTTTCTTAGTACCTCACACTGTCACACTCCTCAAAAACCTAGCGGCCCTCTCTTTCTCCAATTTTACTCATTTTCTTCGATTTCTCTCACAAGCTAAACCCTAAACAATGGCAGCCGCCGCTGCTGCCGCACGCCCTCTGGTTTCCGTCCAAACCATAGAATCCGATATGGCTACTGACGCCACCCCAACTGTACCTCTCGCTGATGTCATGAAAGCCTCGATCCGACCCGACATAGTCACCTTCGTCCACGACAACATCTCCAAAAATCGCCGCCAACCCTATGCGGTCTCCAAACGTGCTGGTCACCAAACCTCTGCCGAATCCTGGGGTACCGGACGTGCCGTCTCGCGTATCCCCCGTGTTCCCGGTGGCGGTACTCACCGTGCCGGCCAAGGTGCTTTTGGAAACATGTGTCGTGGAGGCCGCATGTTTGCTCCTACCAAGATCTGGCGCCGCTGGCACCGGAAAATCAACGTTAACCAGAAGCGTTACGCCGTTGCCTCCGCCATCGCTGCTTCTGCTATTCCTTCGCTCGTCATGGCACGTGGCCACCGCATTGAGGCTGTCCCTGAGATGCCTCTGGTAATATCAGACTCTGTGGAGAGCGTGGAGAAAACCTCGGCTGCAATTAAGGTTTTGAAACAGGTCGGAGCATATCCTGACGTGGAAAAGGCTAAGGACAGTCAAGGAATCCGACCCGGAAAAGGGAAAATGAGGAACCGGAGGTACATTTCCCGTAAAGGTCCGTTGATTGTTTACGGTACTGAGGGGGCAAAGCTCGTTAAAGCCTTCCGGAACATTCCTGGAGTCGAGGTTGCCAACGTGGAGAGGCTTAATCTGTTGAAACTCGCTCCTGGTGGACACCTTGGAAGGTTCATTATTTGGACCAAATCGGCTTACGAGAAGCTGGACACCATGTACGGCTCATTTGAGAAGCCTTCTGAGAAGAAGAAAGGGTACCTCTTGCCTCGCCCTAAGATGGTGAACGCTGACCTGGCTAGGATTATTAACTCTGATGAGGTGCAGTCGGTCGTTAAGCCGATTAAGAAGGAGATCAAAAGAGCACCTTTGAAGAAGAACCCACTTAAGAACTTGAATGCTATGCTGAAGTTGAACCCGTATGCGAAGACTGCTAGGAGGATGTCTCTTTTGGCTGAAGCGCAACGTGTTAAGGCTAAGAAGGAGAAGCTTGACAAGAAGAGGAAGCCTATTTCTAAGGTATATCAATTCTGTTCTGATTTATCATGTTTTCTAAATGATGATAATTGCACTTTTACTGTGGCTTAGGTTGATGCATTGTGGTATATGTCAGTGGAATTATATGTGCTTTTAGTTAATGTTCGATGTCTTTGGTTGTTTTGTTTCTTGAATATGATTATATGATTGTTAATTGATTGATGTACTATACATCGTTGACTACTTGTGCTTATGAGATTTTTTTTTTTTAATGCACAACTCCTAGAAGTGCTTCTATTTTAGTGTTTACACGCTTTATTTGTTGAGATATTACCTTTGTTGTCAATAAGGTACTGTTGCTGCTCAACACTGTTTAATACCATGCTTAGGTACCCATCCTATGTTTGATATATCTTGCATTTGGGGTGATGCTTATTTGGTTGACTCTAACTTATATATGTTCTTGAGTCATAATTTTTTCTCCATGTTTATCATTTGATGTGATTTTACAAGTGAATGGTAGCAAGTGAGGGAAGGCTTAGTTTGTGGTATTTGTTTATTTGACTTATCATTTAGTTTAGTCATATGCTAGATGAGTATTTTGGATTGATTGTTCTGCCTTATGTTGAGCATGACATTTGGCTCAGAATGAATTATAAAAGGTTCTCTCTTTCCCGTTGTGGTCATAATGGTGGTATTCAAATAATGATGTCAAATGTTTGCATCTTTATAGGACTCAAATTGTTTCCTGCATTTGTCATTCTGTTTTTACGTTCTTGGGCCTGATTGATGTTTCACCCAATTTCTTCTCTGGCATACCATTATATTCTCTGTTCGTCTTTCAGAAAATCTTTGTCTTTTATATATTTCTAGTCCACATGTTGTTGTTATTTTGGGTTTTTAATTACTATTATTGTTATGGATCCTCTATCTCTTGTAGAACTTGCCTTGTGAAAATGTTTATCTATTGAATACTAGTTTAGTTTATTTGACTCACTAATTTTTCTTTGTGCCTTTCTCTCGGATGTTTCAGGAGGAGGCAACAGTGATCAAGTCAGCGGGCAAAGCATGGTATCAGACTATGATCTCTGACAGTGATTACACAGAGTTTGAGAACTTCTCCAAGTGGTTGGGCGTGTCACAGTAACTTAGATTTTGCTTTAGGTATTCCGGCAGACAATGTTTGTATCAGTTTTGTTTCAGTGTCGACATTCTATTTCTTTTGCTGTTTGGAGTTGTGGATGAGAATGGGTGCAAGAAGTAAAATTAGTGGGATGGCATGCCCCTGTGTGATCTCTTTTTTCGGCCTCCATCCTGTTTTCGCATTTTATGGCTAGTTGAATGGTTTCTATTAAAATGAGAACAAGAATTAAATAGTATCCAAAGTCTCGTTGGTCTTTTGGTTATTGAAATGCATGTTTTGCAGTGTCCATCTAGTTACTTATTAGTTAGACTGGTCCCTAAATAAAGTCATATGATTCATTTCTCGATTACTTGGTTTTTCTCATTTTGTTTGGGAGATTGAGGTATTGAACTTTGTCATCTGGGCTTTAAAAGAATAAGGGACATATATTTTTCTTCATATTGGATTCATTTTAGGGTTGAAGTTCTGAAACCTTTCAGGGTTGGGGGTTTCGAATTTAATCAAAAATTGAAAAAAAAAAAAAGGAACGTGATCTTAATTTACTGAAAAAAATTATGGCATAGAATTATGGAAATTATATGGTTAACATCCTTATATATAATTCATTTACTGAAAAAAAATGGAGAATGGATTAAATAAGCATTTTTATGTTTTAGTTGGGTCTAATTCCAAGCAATTTAAATGGGTAGGAGTTTAAGCAGAGTTTGTGAACTGAAGTCATAACACATTTTTATCTTCTTTCTTACTTGAAGGATAAGGTTACTATGGGTGGTCATATTCAGTATTTAAAATACTTTGTTAGTATAATATTTAATTAGTATAGGTTAGTTCTTTAAACCAAACACCCTATCCATCATAGAATTATCCATTATTAGCAATAGTAATATTGCCATTTCGATGGACACACGGCAAGCAAGTTTATTATAAAATACAATCTTTTTGGTAAGATACTAAAGTAGCAAGAAATTAATTAACATTGTTCAAATTACATCTCTCACGTTTTCAAGACTTTAAAATTTTTTCTTTGTTTGGAATTTTTTTATATTCGAAAATCATTTTGGATATCGATTAATCTAAGTCGAATCGAGTCGAATAAAAAGGATAAATTATCTTAAGCTTGTTTTTTTTTATTTACAATACTCAAAATCGAAATCTTATTTAAAAAGAATCGAGTTACTTGTCACTCAAATCAACAGACGTTAATTTTTGTAAAACAGAAATAAAATGTTATGAAAATAAAAAAAAAAATTTTTGATTGTAGATTTTTTTATAATACAATCAAAAGATGATTTTAAAATTATCAAAAGATTTTAAATATATATATTTTTTATATTGATTGAGATTTTATTTTTAATAAAAATCAAAATTTGATTGATAAAATAATAATAATTTTTTTTACCAACTAATTAACCTTTATGAGTGTCTTTAAAATTCTTTATATATATATATATATATATATATATATGTACTGTCTAAGCTTTCACAAAATTAAAAAGAGACGTGAAAATTTGGATAAGTTTAAAAGGTATAGTTTTTTTCTCATTGAAGTAATTAAGCTATAAAATCAGCCTATTGATATAAAATGAAAGAGGATATAGTTAGACTAAAATAATAAAATAGTTCTTGAATTTTATTATTTTATTTAAATATTTTATTGTACTCAAATGTATTTTTATTTTTTAGTTGTATAAATATATTTTTATTTCAAATAAAAGATTGATATATATTAAAATTTTATTTAAGTATGAATTAAAAGATTAGAGTTTGTTTGAATATAAATTAAAATTAAAATTTGAAATTTGAAATTTAAAATTTAAAAATTTTATTTTAATGTAAATAAAAAAATTATTTAAATATAATAAAAATTATATAAATTTATTTGAATAAAATGATAAATTTATATTTCTTTTTATTATTTTAACCATATAATTAACATTACTTTCGTGTGTGATTTCATTTAACATTGTGATTGACAAAAGTTGTGATTCCATATGATATCAACTCGTAGATGTTACTATTGGACCACCCTATATCCCCATCAATCCCAACCAGCGACACTTGTTGAATTGGGGGGAGATGATGGAGGGAGACGATGGAGGGTGGGGGCGGTTCTATGGCAACAGTGACTTAGTATATGGCTAGTACTAGTGTCACGAGTCGAGACTTAAGTTTTGAATTCGTACGATTTTGGGACTCAAGTATCTATTCATCCGACGTCTTGGATCAATCTGACTGTCATGATTCATAACCTTGTGAGGTATTGTCCGTTCTGACACCCCTGACCTTACGATTTTATCCTACAAAAGGTGCTTCACAAGAGAGAAGTAGTGTGAACCCTTTTAT